GAAGTGGGTTAAAAAACGACCGAAAGATTTGCACGGTCCTAAGCAAGCAAGCAAACTTAATATAAAGGATTTAAAAATGCGTTTATTCCTCAGACTTATTTTCTGGGTCGTGCCGTTTGGCCTTTTAGCACGATGTCCGACGTTTTTTGCTCAACGTGCCAGTCACCTTCTTCAGGAACTGAATCAAACGTCGGACACTGTGCAATCCGAAAGCCCCCTTGCGAGCCGTACGGCACAACCGCCACAACCATCATTATCGCGAAAGGTGCACAGAATGTGGTGGAACGGCTGCGGAAATGTTTCCTGGGTCGTCGATCCCAAGAGAAATCGCTCAAACTAAGCCCGGATTGTTCGATGTATAGCAGCACGGCGCTTCTGTGTGCAAGCGTGCGTCTTCTTGAAACGAGTGACACACGAGCGGCGTGTCACTCCGATCAGCGCGATTGGCAACGTACGGTGCGAAAGAAGTTCAACATATACGCGAGCAGTGGCTTAGCGTGATAGCCATTGGACCCTTTTGCAAGGAATTAAACAGGGGGGGGATGGGGTCCAATTTCCCCCCTCCCCCCACCCCTTCATAGCCCGGCTCCTGCCGGGCCCCTTCGGCCCGTGGGCCCCAGTGCAGTGCACCGCCTGCACGCAACGCAGCAGCACAAGGAGGCTGGTGAGCAGGGAGAGAGGGGCCCACTACCCCCAACAGTTGTGCGCGCTGGAGCCGAGCGCGCGTGCGAGGAGTCGATCCCCCACTCGGTCCTCCTCGTTGTTATTTTGTGAGAACGCCGCCGCCGCCGCCGTACTCGCTGTCGCGTCGCTGAGCCGTCGGTGATGCGACCCAGCGTGCGGGAGCGCTGGCAGGAACGTGCGGCTCGCGAGGTGACAAGTTCAAATGCAAGTCTTTGGATCTGGGGTCGACTCGTTTATCTCGCTGTTCCGAGATGGTTGGGGCGGAGGGCGGAGGCCGGGGGGTTAAATGTGGATGTTTATTGGTGAACTTTCCCCTGCCATAAAAAAATTGGAATTTTCAACTAGCAGATTCAGGGCTGTAGACGTGAGTTGAGCACCTCTCCTCACGAATTATATCAAGGAGTTGCTTTTAGACGTTTTCTAAGGTGCAAACGTGTTTGTGCGTCACTTCTGTCCATCCAATCAGTAACACATCGCTCTGGTTTGTGTCTCGAAATTCTGGGGAACCCTTCTGGGCAATTTGGCCGATTTTCAATAAGAGAAGTCCCTAATAGCAACACCACTCTATACCAAAGTTTAGTACCGATTAGATCATCTTCAAGAATGTTTTCGAGCCCCCCCTCCCCGCCCCCCGCCGTTACATGTGGATTGGCGGACAAACATTAATTCCACAAACGGTCTCGTGTATGTATGTTGAACTTCTTTCGCACCACACGTAGTGAACCGTGCTAATCAGAGGTGCTAAACTTTGTCCCCTTTAGAGATGACTGCAAGTTGCAGGCTGAATCTCCGAACGTGGAAGTGGTTCAGCGTCAATTTTATTTAGCGAGGCATAGCGCCGTTTTTTTTAAGACATTGTACGAACCGCAGATAACTGTCACGACACAACCGCACTCTATGATAGCTGGTGCCAAAACTGTACCACACGCCCTCCCTTATCGGTTGCGGTCCAATGACATACGTGTACGGAATCAGAAGAAAAACGTACGTCATCGGAACGAGAAAATGATAAGAACGCCGCTGTGCCCAATCTCGAGTGTTCACAGTTGTTGCTGCACCGCGTCTGGCCATCCCTCAAACTCATGCGGTCAGCGTGGAAGGATACTTTAAACACTCCCCTCTGAGAATAGGGAGTCACCAAGTCGCTTCGTAAGAATCTCGTTGAGCATCCTTAAATGTCTATCTCTGTTGATACAAACTCAGGCATTGTTTGGCGTTTTGCGTTTTGTGAGCCGGGCGTGGTTCCACGTCATGTAATTAAATCGATGTGGCACGATTACAGGGTGTCACCAACGTGTCTGATCAAATTGTCACTGCGCTCAACGTGAACATTTGGGCGGTGCTTCACTGACAGTTCAAAGCTGTTGGGGGAAGATTCCACGTTCCTGTGGCAGGGACTAGTTTGTCTGAAGGATAACAACCGCTCGCCTCTGACTAAGTAAACTATAAACTATTTTATTTTACCAGGTAAGGCCTACTGAGCTATATTGCTCTTTTTCAGAAGCGACTTGGCCACAAATGGTAGCTCAACGAAGTGGCTTATCACGTGGAAATGTATAGCAGTTAAATACTCTAAAGCGTGTTGATCCTAAATATGGAGGGAAAAACCTGAGGACCCGGATAAAAATCCACGCGAACCCAGGGAGAACATGCAAACTCCACATATACAGCAAGCGTCAGGGTCGGGATCGAACCCAGGACCTCCTGGATACCAGGAAAGAGAGTTAACATCTCCTAGCCACCGAAGATCTGACCAGCTGGTATACATTTTACTGACCCCGCTAGAGTCAATAGACAATTATGGAGTTAAGTCAACCCCCCCTAGTATTTAAGATTAATACTTCCCTTTAACGCGGAAAGCCTCATTGAGCCCAAGGCTATTTCTCGGGAGGGTTCTGCATTGGGATGTTTGGCCAATCCCATTAATCAGACCGTGGCTTCGTGTGGGAGAACTCAAGAGAGAACCCAGCACACATACCAAGGGCAATCACTCAGCACTGCTACTTCCTGACCGCCTCGTAGCCCACACCTACAACATCTCACACGCCTTGGTGGTCACCCATCAAAGTTCCGCACAGAGAGATTCAAGGATCCATCGCTGCACTGACATCTTCTGGCCACCTCGCATATTTGAATCCGCAAACTCACGATTGAGAGTTGCTATTCTCGGCCCACTAAGTCGCAGGTTTTATTTGACGTCTTGGAAGCTTTTAACCAAAATCTTCGCATATATTTTCCCCGCTTGCTTATTTATTGCCTTCAATAAAACCAACCAAAATAACACAGAATATATTTATTTGGCTCCTGAATATTTTACAGAAACACTGCCACCAGATGTATGTTTAACAGCAATAATAATACTAATACCTTTTATTTGTCCAGGAAAAGCTCACCGAGTCTCCAGACACAGCAGGGTTTTGCATTGGGATAAACGGCCAGATCCATAAATGAGTGTTTGGCTTCATGCGGGAGAATACTGGAGGACCAGGAGAAAATCCCTCACATGTACGATGGCGGGGGGGGGGGATAACACTCCAAATTCCGCACAGATGGATTCAATCCATTACTGTGCAGTCATCTCCTGGCCACCTCGTCAGGAGAGGACGGAATCCGACGCGTTCAATCTTTAAGCCACGTGCAGGGGTTGCCACCCATCCCGGTTTTCCCAGGATGGTCCTCTTTTTGACAAGTGGCCGCCCTGAAATATATATCTCACTCTCCCTGGGACAGTCCCGACTGCATTGTCAGTTGCCTAATAATAACCACAACAACAACAAGAGTGCTCACACAGTGCAGTTCTCGTCCTGGTACAGTGAGATATTCTTCTTCCCATGATATGTCACGGGTGTTTTTTTTGTAATATACCTCGCATCTTGTCAACATCCCCCCCCCCATGTCACCATCCCCACCCCCGCCCCGAGTTAAAAGCGACGTGGCCAGCGCAGCTACTAACACGAGGAGGACCTCAACCTCTGGGTCACCCAGAGGTCGCAGCCTCGCCGCGTAATCCGCTGCACGCGCGCCACGTGCACGCGCGCCACGTGCACGCGCGCCACGTGCACGCGCGCCACGTGCACGCGCGCCACGTGCACGCGCGCCACGTGCACACGCGCCACGTGCACGCGAGAGCAGAGGTCGTGCAACGCGCGACATCTTCACTCGCCTCTCTCGCCACATCTTATGTTTTGTCTCTGTGAACGTCATTGCGGTAGCGGTAACGGACGGTGAGCGGAGGGGGGGGGGGGCGTGTGCAGGACGGCGGCGTTGGGGGGCACCCGTGGCTGGGTTGGGGAGCGAAGAGGTGGAGGTGCGGGGTTTGGTTGGCACGTGCGTGTGGAGAGAGGTTCGTGCCGTTAAGCCTACCACATGTCCCACGTGGTCGTGACGACGTTGAAAGAAAGACAACAAATTGGGGAGTCTCAAGACACTGCCAGTCCTGTTTACATCGTCATCGTCAGCGATCCACTGCTGGATGAATGCCTCCACTGTGCATCGCTGCGTCGTCTCCGCGATGCGACGATACGTCGAGCAGCACCTTGCACGTGTTGCTGTACGTCCTCTCGTGCGCATTTCTCCCCGTTGAGACTTTTTGGACATCATCCAAAGGAGCGTCACGACCCCTGGGAGACAGGCTGACGGCGGAGGCTAAATAACGAATAGGGATGAAATCTATCTCGCCGTGTAAACTAAAATCTATTCTCGCATGATTGGCTCGATGGCCAAACGGCCTCCCACGAGCCAACACGGCTTGAAAGAGCCCTTTCATCATGCAGCTTTGGATTGACAATCGACTGTAAATTATGACATACGATTCGCGAGGCACGCTGCTTTGGCAACGCCGGTTGCTATGAAGTTGTGCGCGCGTATGAAGCACGCTGTTACTTAACCTTGCAAATATACCCCCCCACCCCTCACTCCCCCTGGCTGCAGTCCAGTCTCAGCACAGAAATGTTTTAATGCTCGGCGATGGACGCTCCGGCATGGACAAGAACTGAACGCGGCTTGCGCTGCGTAAGCTCTCTGCTGTTGTTAGGCCCGGGGTTGTGCCGCGTGTTGTTCTGCAGTTCCCGAGGAAGCTCCCAGCACCTGGGATCGAAACGTCGGACATCGCACCAAACAACGCGCGGCACAACCAGAAAGCATGTTGGAGAACCGACTTATCATTGCTGCTGCTGTGTGTGGGTTGTTGTTGTTGTTGTTGTTGTTTCACTTTGTGTGAAATAGCGAACTCATGAACATCGTTTTCAGACTTCTCGTGTCAGCTCTCTCGCTCTGCCCATTGCGCATGTTAATTCACTCCGTCGCTTCTCTTTCAGAGGGCGATCACCCTGATATTGGAGGCCTGGGATCAGGACAACGGCACTTCTGGTAAGGTTCGCACGTGTTTATTCCACCTTATTCCATTTAACCGCAAATTCTCCGGGTATTTAAAGACCACTCGTAGAACCTGAGCCAACATATGCGCTCGTCCCAATGGTATTGAGCAAGGACAACTGGATTTTCAAATTGCGTAACTCCAAAAAATGGGGATGGGGGGGGGGGAATGGTGGCGCAGTGGTTAGCGCACTGTGCTATGAACCCAGCGAGCTAAGATTGATTCTCAGCCACGACTGTCATGAGTGACGAGCGATACCTGAAACCCTTTTCCCAGGGCGCGTTGGTCATGGTGTGTTGTTAGAACCAAACTTCATACTGCTGGCACGATGAGTGATATCTCAACTGTACCGACCAACGTGGTGAAGTATAGTCAAACATCTCCCATTGCTGATACGCCGTGGGGGAACCGTCACGCTGCGTTGGATTGTCAAAGGGCTGTAAATTATTGTTTATTACTTAATTCCACGTAACACGCTGCCTCTAAAACCGCAGAAACACGTGGACATATTGTGGCTTTGTCAGAGCATTATTGGGTTATTATTTTGTCCATGTTCTCCACATGATAATAATCAAAATGTGTTTCTTGTTTTATGTGATTGCTGTTGTCTCGCGCAGCGTTGTGAGATGCAGTTCTGCATTAACGACGCTATATAAAATGTATAATTATATTTTATTTAATAAAATTATATATCTACTTGGGTTTTTGCCTTGTTCATAGAATGTTCCTATTTTATCACTCAAAAAATCACGTGTTTTACCGCCTCACCGGCTACAGTGTCAACATTCTGTGACACAGTGAACGACGAATGAACACATTTTAGCCGTGGGTTTAAATGCGAGTGAACCCTCTCGACACGTTCTCGACAAATTGTGTGGCTCAATGTTGAGGCGTTTCATGAAGTGTTTATCGGAAGAAAAAATACGACGTTTCCGAGAACACCCAGTGAGAATATCTACTTTACACAGAGAGGCAGTCTATATTCTATTCTTGCCTATGATGGAAATATGTGCAGGAGTTAAATGCCAATGTCGAGGTCACGTGGCCCCAACGAGAGGGCTCGTGATAGAGTTCGTGTCGTTTTGCTGTCCCCCCTTCGGCTGAAGGAACGGCGCAGACTCCGATGGTTTACTAATACGGTCCGTGGTTTGGGTTGCATCAGGCAGTCTCAACCATAGGCAGAGGAGTACAGAGAAATGTCTCGAGCCTGGACTTGAACAGGAACAGGGAGCTGAGGGTGCAAGATAGCCACGGGGGCGGCGGAGGAGAATGAGTGACCTCCCACCGAGTGAAGGATGAATAGGGGCTTCGACAAAAAGCCTTGGTTGCTAAAGTGGAAAGTGCGTGGAGAGGAGTGGGGTGAGATGAGAGGGGAGAGGTAGGAGAGTGCGTGCAGGGGAGTGGAGTGGGATGAGAGGGGAGAGGCAGGAGAGTGCGTGGAGGGGAGTAGAGTGAAATGAGGGGGGAGAGGTAGGAGAGTGCGTGGAGGGGAGTAGAGTGAAATGAGGGGGGAGAGGTAGGAGAGTGCGTGGAGGGGAGTAGAGTGAAATGAGGGGGGAGAGGGAGGAGAGTGCGTGGAGGGGAGTAGAGTGAAATGAGGGGGGAGAGGTAGGAGAGTGCGTGGAGGGGAGTAGAGTGAAATGAGGGGGAAATGTAGGAGAGTGCGTGGAGGGGAGTAGAGTGGGATGAGAGGGGAGAGGCAGGAGAGTGCGTGGAGAGGAGTGGAGTGAGATGAGAGGGGAGAGGTAGGAGAGCGCATGGAGGGGAGCAGGTTGCGATGAGAGGAGAGAGGTAGCAGAGTGTGTGGAGGGGAGTAGAGTGGGATGAGAGGGCAGAGGTAGGAGAGTGCGTGGAGGGGAGTAGAGTGGGATGAGAGGGGAGAGGGAGGAGGGTGCATGGAGGAGAGCAGAGTGAAATTAGAGGGGAGAGGTAGGAGAGTGCGTGGAGGGGAGTAGAGTGAAATGAGGGGGGAGAGGTAGGAGAGTGCGTGGAGGGGAGTAGAGTGAAATGAGGGGGAAATGTAGGAGAGTGCGTGGAGGGGAGTAGAGTGGGATGAGAGGAGAGAGGTAGTCAGGGTCGAGTCAATTGGATGGTCTTGAAGGCGGTGAGTCCAATCTTGAAATTGATCCAGGGATCTATTGGGAATCAGCAGAGCGATTAGCGTATTGGGGAGATGTGTTCTCATTTACGCGTGTGGGTGTGAGAAGTCAGACAGCACGATTTTGCATCGTCTGGTGTTTGGAGACAAGAGATTTGGGGGGCCATAAAAGAGAGGGTTGCAATGATCAGGTCGGGATGCCATTAAGGCGAGGACGAGAGACCATGCAGTGTAGTAGAAAGTGTTCTCATTTGTGTGTCTATTGTGTGTCTTCTACTTGTACTGATTTGCCCCACTCTGAGCAGAATCCACACTATGTATGTACCGTATGTTGAACATTTTTCGCACCGTACGTAGCGAACAGTGCTATCCACACTCCTTCTCACACACACCACACCAATGCTGACTTATATCCCCCAACCACCACTGCCCTCCAAATGCTCCCCTCAATTTTCTTTGAAATGCCCGTACATCTCGGACCGCTATCACAAACAATACTTTGCGTTGCAATTGAACGATCAGCGGCGCAGCTTTTCTACCGGACACGATGCCACTCGCCCATTGATCAATAAACTCTGCCTCCCTGGCATCTCTGTAGAGAAGGACCATTACCAGATAAGTCGCCTTATTATATACTTTAGGGTGGGGGGGGGAGGGTGTATTGAGGCCAGTCTTATTGACAAATGTGTTGGGCGAGTTTGTTTGTGTGTGTGTGAGCGCATGGACGAATCAAAGGAGCCGTTGCCGAACTTCGCGGTTCGTTGACTGCGAGTGTTGCAACTCACGCCGCAAGAGACGAGCTCCCGTCGCTTATTTATTTTTGGGGAAGGTGGGGGAGGGGTGGCTTTCCACGCGCCTCTCCCTCGGGATGGTGGGGTGGGGGTATAAATAGATACCTGCGCGGTGATGTCATCGGCCGACAGCCTCTATATAGTTGGCCTGTTGAGGCTTCGCCAGCTTCTTGAATTTCATGAACGGTTGCAACTTTTGGGCCCGGTTGGTCTCCTCGCTGCCTGCACCGGCGCCTGCCAGTTGGTCAGCATGACGTGATGCCGTTGGAGCATAAATGAATAAAATTGGAGGCTTTGTCGAGTGGAAGCCAACAATTTAAAAGGGGTTTGATTGGTTGGATATGTCAATCAAGGAGATGGAATTCGATTTTTTTCATGGAATCAATGACATAAATACAAATAATGTAATTTATGCATCTTGATTTGAAGCTTTCGTGACTGCAGGAATCCATTCTCCTTGGTTCTTTCGGTAAAGTCACGTAGGTAGAAAAAATAATAGTTCACGACGTTTCGATCGCAACGCAAGCGATCGAAACGTCGTGATCTATTATTTTGTCTACCTACGCGACTTTACCGAAAGAACTAAAAAGTAATGGATGTTGAACATTTTTCGCACCGTACGGAGCCAACCGCACTAATCGGACGTGCGCGGGGCAAAGACAACTAAACGCAAAAATCAGTTTTAAATAAATGAGTTTTCAATGTAGATTTAGAAGTGCATAAGGTCCAGATTCCTGCCGAGCAAGACAGATCGAGCTGAGGGTAGTGGCATAGAAGGAGGCCGTGGAACGATATGTGAAGACAATGGATATCCAAGTTTCAGGTTTATTTTGTTTAATCGGATGGTGAAAACTCAAGAAAACGAGGGTGAGTCTTACTTGCAAGAGCGACCTTGGGGCATCAGTCTGCCAGTAAGGGGGGGGGGGTGGTGTTGGTCAGTGCATAATCCCGATTTTAGTAATTTGCGGTGTGATTTGCGAATTTGGTAAAAGCGGGCCCTGACGCCGGCAGATGATGACCCACTCTTGGGAGATGCCGTCAGGGGGGGGCCTTTAACGTCCCTCATGAAGCAGACGGCCCGTGGCATTGCGGTGAATGCGCCCGCAGCAGTCATCGTGTGACGAGAAAAAGAGGCGCAGAGTAGGAGCCACCATAAGCGGAGAGATACAATCTGAGCAGCCGACCCCCATGCAACAGTGAGACCTCTGGCTTTGAAGAAGAAAAAGAAGACCACACGTATTGGCGTGAGTGTGTGGCCGTGACTTTTGACCAATAATACGCCAATGCCATCGGGGAGGTGTGGAGGGGTAGACGTCTAGCAGGGCTTAAGCCTGGTTAGTAGTTGGATGGGTGATGGCCAGTGCTTGCCAGGTGTTGTAGGCGTGGAGGCCGTGACGTGACCGGACATTGCAGTGCTGGGTGTCACCCCGCGGGCAGGAGGTATGCATGGGTTTTATTGAGGTTTATTCGCAATATCGCTGGTGGAAGCGTCTCCGCTAGGGGAAGCTCAAGATAACCCCCCTGGAGGATATTTGGCCTACTCTTCCACGCTGGCCAGACGTCTTAGAAGAGGTGGGAGTACCCACACTTTACCCCACTGCGCGTGACCTGTCGATCGACTAACTGCGGTGGGATCCATTTGCACCGCTGGGTGGACAGAGGCGGTCGGGGAGAGATTTTAAGAAACTTGCACCATCGTTTCAACTGCCGTGCCGGGAGATGGAATCTGACCGGCAAACCTCTGCATTGCAAGTCGAATGTGCGAGTCATAAAAACAAATGTTGGAAAATAGATGGTTAAAATAATATCGAGCGGTGGGACGGCTGGGATCTGTGCTTCAGCCCCATGCAGAACTGGACGTGTAAAGTCACGTGGGTAGACAAAATAATAGATCACGACGTTTCGATCGCCACACAAGCAATCGTCCTCAGGTGATAACGATTGCTCGTGTGGCGATCGAAACGTCGTGATCTATTATTTTGTCTACCTACGTGACTTTACCGAAAGAACCAAAGAGTATGGATTCCTGCAGTCACGAAAGCTTCAAATCAAGATCGGAAATGTCATGTTGATCCTAAAGAGGCTCTAACGCACGGCGATACTCTCTGCCTCTCAACTGCACCTGGCAATGTTGGAGATTATTTGGTAAGAAAGCCTGCAGTGAATTACACCATTAGCTCCGAACAGATCCTGAGTGCCGATTTCGTGCGCAGAATAGGCGAGCGAGCGAGCGGGCTTGGTTGGTAGAAACCAGCTTCGCAAACAATCCAACGCATGTGACAAGGAGCGCGGCGCGGTACGCGTGCCATTACCGCTGCTCCCCGCTGACTCGTCGATCAAGTTAGTGCGCTCAGATCAAAGCCGAGCAATTTCTTTCAGGAAATCTCCAAGGCACCATGTTGGTTTTCTGATGCCAATAATTGCTTCTGCCCGTAACACTTTGCATCTGGTTTATGTCTGCCAAGGCAAAGCGTAATGTCAAAGTCCTGCCTCGCCTGACTACAGTAAAGCACTCGTGTGTGATGTGTGTGTCTGTTTGCGGGGAACGGTGGCGTAGCGGTTAGTGCGCTGCGCTAAGAAACCACCACCCCGAGTTCGATTCCCGCTCATGGCCAACACCAGTGACGATTATCTGAACCGGTCCTGGGCACACCCTAGGTCGACTCAGCCTCAAATGAGTACTTGGTGCGGTGTGTAAAAAAACATCACCACGGGGAAGACAAATGCGGTCGGGCGTGGTGCTGGCCACCCACTGCCTCGTGTGCCGGCCTTCATAGGTGCTCGCTAACAGCACTTTTCCCAACAGTCTGTTCAGGCTATTACGGGGGATCTTTGTCTTTGCTCTCACAATACCCTGAGTCAGTTAACTGTTCCAGCGTAAACAATCATCACAAAAATCCCGGCAAGTCGGTGCTCGCGTTCCCCGCGGCTCCGATGCCTTTCGCCTCTCATTAACTTGCAGATTTACGCTTTTTTTGTCTTCGCTGTGAGCAAGGCGGGCGAGCTTGGGTTGTCCGTCTCGGGTCGCCGCGAAGGTCTGTCACACGCGCAGCTGGCGCCCACTGTGGTGCAACGCTGCGCTGTTTTCACGGCGGTTATATTTATTGCCACCCTTTTTGTATTCAACTGGAAACTTTTTTCTTTAAAACCCGTGGCTGTACACCACCGCGGAGAAGGGGTGCAGAGTCAAAGATGTAACGCATTGAGAGGTGAAGAAGAAGGAGAATCAGGAAAGGGAAGGGGGAGGAAAGCAAGAATGGGAAATGAGAGGAAAATTATGGAAAAGGAGTGGAGGAATGGGAGTTAAGGGGTCCGGAGAGATCAGTATCGAGTGGAAGAGGCTACGTGAGAGGGCCTCAATGCTGCTGCTCAAGGAAGCGGCGTCTGTTTTCACAGTGGGCGGCAGCAGGGAGAGGGGAGGGGTTCAGAGTAGGAGTGTTCGCACAAAAGTCACGTGATTTACAGGAGGCTCGAGCTGATTTAGAGCGAGGCGTCTGTGTAGTATAACCATTTCAAGCCAGACTTGTTTAAATGCAGAATTCGTGGTTCGCTAGAAATTAAACAAGAACAACTCCCATCTCAAAAAGCCATTCACACGCGAAATACCATATTCTCTGGATTGTTAGGACCTCCATAAAGTAAGACGCACACTCCAAAGTTGTGTCTGGTATCAACACAATTATACAAATATGGCCACACACAAACACGCATCTACCGGATTGTCAGACAAACCCGTAACTTTTACCTTAAATTACAGTGGGAGAAAGTGCATCTTGTGCATCAGAATGCTGCCTGCTAAGGGATAAAGGGGCCTGCAGTCATGAAATTGGAAGTCATTAAACTTGTATTCAATATACCGCATTGCTAGTTGCTCATTGGGCACAAGGCCTGGTACTGTGAATGTGGCACCAAACAGCAGCCAGTGCACATCTCGTTGTGCCTCTTGGAAAATCGAATTATATTTTAGGCATGCGTTGACATTTAGTTCGTTTGTCTGTTTTCCGAATGTTATTCCAGCTGTGCCTTTGGCGTCGTGGCACGAGAGAGATGAAGTCTACATTTGGAACCCTTGCGGAGCAGTGCATCAATTGCACGTTAGAGAATGGCACGCTGAAGCAGACATCATCGAACTACGTTTGAAAGAAAAGTGTTCATTGCGTGCCAACAAATCTAAGATATTTTAATTCAGTCTTCAGTGATAGGGCCTGGACCATCAACTTGCTCATCCTGATTTGAGACCTTAGTTTGATCATTGTCAGTTGAATCACCCAGCCAGCTCAATAAATAAAACAAACTTTGTTTAAAAGTGCTTGTTTCAAAAAAATGAAATAAGCTCGTGGTTAATGTAATCTATCGAAAATCAAAGAATAGCAGCAGAAGAAATCTCTGGCCCAGCGTGGCTCCCTTTAAAACTCTAAACCATATTAATGTTTGCATAATAAAAACAATAAGCAACCAAGTGAAAATTAAATAATATTATTATTTGCAATATGATCAGTGCAAGATGGGGAGAATAGTAAAAAAATGAAGTATAGTTATTTATTTATTTGAATATCTAAGCCCTCCAAGAATTCCTCATAAGAGCCTCTGGATTAGAGCACCCATCGCTTGGCCTAGGGTTTTTGGTTTCTATTTAACTGGTTGGCTTCAGCAAAGTATACTTTGTTATAAAACTTCCCTGGGTCATGAGGGAATTGAATTGCATTAAATAGCAACATTTTCTGGCTGTCTTTTCAATACATTATTCAGGCCAATTTAGAATCAAATGAAGAATAGTTTTAGTTTGTCTAACGGCAAATGACTCCCACATTAGCCACCCAGGCTTGCGTTTGTTAAAACTTTTGGTTTTGATTTCATGACGCTCTTTTTCTTTAAAATGTTCTGCCAAAAAGTTGATTCTGTGGATTTTATTGTTTTCTGTCAGATGGTCGCACAGTGGGGGCTTTGGCCATCTGCGCAAATGAATTAGTGCTCAAGTCAGATTGATTTTTTTGCATTCACAAGGATGGCTGAGTACAGCAGTTAGTGCACTGGCGTATGAACCTGGTTAACCGAGTTCAATTCTCTCTCATGGCTAACATCAATTAGAAACATTTGACCCATTCCAGGCCCTCTTCTAGGTCAACTTAGCCTTTAATGAGTACCCTAGCAATGATGATTTTTCTCTTGCCAATTCTCTGCATCTAGTAATGTTAAATGATACATTATTTATTATGTCTCTCCATATGTTGATGATGACGCCTGCTGGCTGATCATACACCGCTTTCACTGCCATCAAGTGCAGTAAACGTCGTCACTGGGGAAACAAAAGCTGGGCGATTCAACCTCGACCCTCACTCCTGCTGTGCAGTTGGAGTTTGTGTGTTCTCCCCGTGTGTTTTCCCGTGTATCCCCCCGTGTGTCTTCCCCCGTATGTCTCCCCCCGTCTGTCTCCCCCCGTGTGTCTCCCCGAGTTTGCGTGTTATCCCCGTGATCGCGTGGATTTTTCTCCGGGTCCTCCGGTTTTTCCCTCCACATTTAGGATCAACACGCGTTTAGAGTATTTGGCTGCTACAAATTTCTACGCGATAAGCCACTTCGTCGATCTATCATTTGTGGCCAGGTCGCTTCTCTCAGCGGGCCTTACCTGCTAAAATAAAACAAAATGGTTTAGTATCGGCCTTCATCGGTGCTTGCCCCAACAGTCTGCTGAGGCTATAACGCGGGGGGGGGGGGTGGTTTGGGGGGTGGTTTGGTGAATTTTGTTCAGTGGTTTGGTGAATCTTTTTTGGGTGGTTTGGTGAATCTTTGTCTTTGCGTGCGTGCAGGGGGTCAGCTGATCGCGCGTGCCACCTACTCGGGGCTGCTGCTGCCCACGGAGCTCTGGCACACGGAGTTGCACTCGGGCCCACGCGCACAGCTTGAGTACCGCGTGCGCGCCCTCTGCGACCCGCACTACTACAGCGCCAACTGCACGCGCCTCTGCAAGCCCCGCAACGACTACTTCGGCCACTACTCGTGCGACGGGCTCGGCGGGAAGGTGTGCATCGAGGGCTGGGCCGGACCCGACTGCAAGAAAGGTGAGACGAGATGGCAGATGTGCGTGTGTGGAGGAGTGGGGTGGGGGAATTAATGCCGAGGTGGGCTACCCTGTACCACTGTGGTTATCGACCCTGAAGCGAGCGAGGAAGATTGCGGACGATTCCTCGCACCCTCGATACTCTCTGTTCCAGCTACTCCCCTCCGGCAGAAGGCTGCGGTCCATCAAGACCAAAACCTCACGTCATAAAAACAGTTTTTTCCCATCTGCTGTTGGCCTCCTCAACAAGGCCAAGGGCTTAAAATGACTTTTACACTTCAAATGACTGTTACACTTACTATAAAATTGTATCTACATAATTACACCTTTCCATACTTACAACGTGTAATCTTATTTGTATTTTTGTATTTTAAGATTGTTTAATACGGCTAATTAACATTTTACATTCGCATTTTATAAGGTCTACTTATTCATAATTTTAAAGATTTTAGCCCTTTGGTATTACTTATACTTTGTAACGTTAGTATAGTTAGAGTGTATACCTTTTATATAAGTTAAGATTCCTACTTGTTCAATGTATGCACCGTCCCGCCATAGTGAATTCCTTGTTTGTGCAAACTTACATGGCGATTAAAACCGTTTCTGATTCTGATAGTAATACGGTCAACTGATTTGTTTTACTAGGTAAAGTCAGCTGAGCTATTTGCTGCATTTATTTTTCAGAGGCGACCTGGCCACACATTATTGTTCACCGAAGTGGCTTACATCATCAAGTAGGGGGATTGAGAGTAGCAGCCAAATCATCTGATGGCACGTTCATAAATGTGGGCGGCAAAAACCAGAGGACCCCGGAGAACAATCCATGTGGCCACGGGGAAATATCACGTGAACTCCAAATATCCTGTACAGGCATCAATCGTCAGGACCCAGAATCAAACCCATGACCTCCTGCGTAGCGGGCGAGGGAGATAACATCTCCCATGGCAACCCATGAATACCAGCAGCCCTTCCCGATCTAAACTACTGGTTTTTCAGTGTCTTGAGATGGCATTGTGTTTAGATGGAATATAAAGGGTGCTTCAAAAAAATGTTAACACTTACATAGGACTATCGTATTTAATGGGGAAATAACGCATAATACACTGTAACATGATAACAAATGTATGTTAATAGCTTCAAAAGTCTAAGAGTCTCTATTTGTTCGCCATCATTGTCAACGCGTGCCTGGAATCTTCTCCAGGTGTTCTCCAGAGCCACATTTCTAATGGTGGTGTTGCAAATCCTCAGAAGTGTTAAAACTAAAATTTGAAGCACCCTGTTTATCCAAATGGTATTGAATCGTCATGCTTAGCCATGGTCACTCCACTGCTGAACGAAGGATCATGAACCTATTTAAGTGTTACTCCGCCATGCACGAGGCTTTTCTCTGGGTTTTGCCGATATCCCCTCTCCTCACAAAACACTTTTTTCAACGACGCCCGATGCAATATGCTCACGAAACAAAATATCGAGACTCGGTGAAGCTCTCCTAGATCAATGGATTGCATGATTAGTTGCTGCTATTGTTATTACGACGATGAGAAGATGTCGCGTCTCACGGCACCTCACCTCCTCGGTGCTGAGGAGGCCTTGGTGGGACTTCTGGCTTCAATGTCAGGTTCAGGCGTCATCGGTTAGAATTCGTGACATCTGAATTACTTTAAGTAAGAAATTGATAGACAATAACGTGAAGGAATGTTTTTGATAAAAAAAAACAACAACGTATGAACCGTTATTTTTATGGCACGTGTTAATGTTACGTGCTAGAAAAATGGGCTTTTAAAAAGTAGAGAATCCGGACAGATAAACAGAGTAACAAACCCACACTTGCTCCATGATAGTAAAGGGATAATAATGATTTTGTTGCTTCCCAAGACCATGATTTTTATGCCAACGGCTTTGGGGAGGCCTTCATCCAGCAGCGGATTGATCATGGCTGGTGATAATTATTTGTATTAAATTACTTGAATATATTAGCATAATGTAAAACATCTATTGCTTTTTAATACTCGAAACTGCGTTGGCAGTGGTGTATGATCGCAAAGAGCAAAAGCTAAACACTCGGCAATAACACTGCCCTAAAATAGTCGACGTTTTGAGCAACGGCCCTTCATGTGTGCTGCATTGCCCGAAACGTTGCCTAATATCGTTTTTCTTTTAGGGCAAATGTTTACATCCATTCATTCGTGACATTTGTCACGCGCACATATTGAATTTAAAATGATATTCAACATGAATTGTAAGAAACACAACTTTATATCATTCTTTTCTGTCTTGCCATATCTCTCCATCCATCCGTCTATGATTATTAATGACTTAGTATGCCTCCGAAACGTCGTGATTTTTATTTTATTTTTATTTTACTTTTATTAATTTTAATTTTTTACCTACTTGACTTTACCGAAAAAAACCTAAGAATATGAATCCTTGCAGTCACGAAAGCTTCAAATCTAGAATTAGTATGCATCGCCGCGAGAGGGTGGTGCCGTCCCCTGGCTGATCAGACAGTGCCTCACTGCCATCATCGATTCCCCCACTCTGAGCCGAGTGCATTACCTTCCCCGCGGTGGTCTGGCTTCTCGTATTTACCAGCGGCCGTCGCTTGCGGTGAATAACTGACCTGGTCCGCGTGTCACCAGACACCTGTGAATGAGCCAGATCGACGAAGATTCGATATTGGGGGGGGGGGGGGGAGGGGGGAGGTGGCCGGTTAAAATCCTCGAGAAGAAATGGATTTTTTTGAACAAATGATCTGCAATGTTAACGTCAATGCGTTGAACTGATGATTGATGGCGTGCTGCTAATGACTCTTCTTCCTCTGTGCCTCCTCCTCTCTCTGTGTCGTGCAGCGATATGCCGGCAGGGATGCAGCGCACAGCACGGCGCCTGTGAAGTGCCCGGGGAGTGCAAGTAGGTAGCTTAACATTTCTCTCGGATTTTTATTTTCGGTTGTGTGGAATAATAATGTATATAGATACTTTTTTAAACCCACTGCCAATGCAGACAGTGCTCATCGCATCTGAGCTCATCCCCCCCGTATCCTCGTTTTCTATGCCAAATTAATCGACTCAAGATGCAATGCGATGACATTTGTGTTAACGTTAGCGTCCATTTGTGTTAACGTTCGCGATGCTTTAGGGACACAGTGGGGGCACTTGTACATCATGTAGGAGAGAGGAGGCATGCCAATGCAGCAGCAACACGTCCAATGTACACAGCCTCTCGATGCGATCACATCGTATGCACGTAGTATATACTTTGCATGTTAGAGAAGGAACAGGCATTCATGGGCGCACAGGAGGACGGGGAGAATATTGTGCCTGGATTTCAACAGGGGCAGGGAGTAGACAGCACAGATGTCTGGGGGTAAGGGAGTTGTAGACGACGGAATGCAGGAGAGGTGGTAGGAGTGACCTCTCCCAGTGAGCAAAAGGCCGACCGGGGATGTTGAGTGAAAGGTTCGGCTAAGCGAGGGGCCCACGCGCTGTGGCTCTGGGAAAACAAAGACAGCTTCTCACCGTGACCAGCAGGAAACGTTTAGTTTGGTCATAGCTAACATTCACAACTTAGGGATTTTAGCTGTGACACACACGCATAATGATTTCCTCTTTGCCCCATAATGTTACGGAGTCTTTAACCTCTGATTCAGAGCTCATCGCGCCCATTTGGAAACGTCCATGCTCCTGAAATTCCCAATCGGCTACGAAGCAGCAGACAAACTCCAATGCAGACTGGCTGGTCTCTCTTTAATAAAAAAAGGGCTAGAATCATCGGTGTGTGAAAACATATTTGCTTATGCAGTTAATTATAACAATGCTTTTTTTGAGGAGGGTATTCCATTGGGACGTCGAGTTGGTTTGTGTTTGGCGCATGCTGCAGGACTTAGTGGCATTGGAATGGACATCAATTTGTGCACAGGCGCCCAAAAAAACCAGAAGACAAACATGTAATTCTAGATTTGAAGCTTTCGTGACTACAAGGATTCATACTCTTAGGCTTTTTCTGTAAAGTCACGTAGGTAAAAAATATAAAATAATACTTCTATTAATTTTATTTTGATTTTTTACCTACTTAACTTTACCGAAAAAGCCTAAGAGGACAAACATGTAGCTTTAACTGGGAGCTGAACTGAGAACTCTCCGATTGCGAGTCACCCAGTCAACCGCTAGCTCCCCAGTCATGGCGTTAATGCAGCTGGCTCTCACTAGAAAATATTTCACCACATCCACCATACCTCTCAATATGGCTGCTGCTGCCGCAAGTTGCGTGACACCAACCCCCAGTCTACCGGTGACCCAGAAAATATTCAATGAGAACTGAAGCCCTGGCTCCAGCTGTACGTGATGTCAATCCCACCGTGACAGCCGCCCTGCCCCATCGCTGCGGCAACTAGCCGCCCCCCCCCCCACCCCACCCCCCGGCTCACTTCGAGTGGTTGCGACGCTACGCGACGCGGCCACAAACTATTCAGGCCAAAGACTCTGACGGACAGCAGCTCCGAGGGCTCTGAAGGCCTCCCTGTCTCCGAGGTTTTGCTTTCTATCGAAGGAATGCCTGCCACGGTGGTGGTGGCGGTTGGGACATGCTCCACTCTCCACTCCTCCACCACCCTCCTCACCGCCCCAGTCCAGCTTGCACCCCCCACCATCATCAACGATACCCCCAGCACCGCTGCACCACCGCCACCACCACCGCCGCCGCCGCCACCACCCACCCATCACCTCCAACTCCATCTCAATGTCCTTTCTGACTCAACATAGGTCAGGCCCTCTGGGGAGTAGAGGGGTGGGGGTGGAGAGTTGGGGGGGGTGGTGGGGGGGAGGCACTGTGGAATGTGCGTTGTGCCCATGCAGGGCATTCTCACAGTCGCTGTGCAGAGCCAGGAGACCCCATGGGCAGTGCCCTCTCTCTTGCCCCGCGCCATCTGTCACAGAACCCCACGGTGCACCTGACAATAACGTTGATTTTAAGAATTAATAACAATCACACTCTTTATTCGGAAACGTCTGCACATTCCCAAATCACAATGGGCGCTCTGTGATACGACAACATCGGACAAAAATCACAGATCAGCTCTCAACCCGCGATCAGCCTTATATGGAGGGAAATAGGCATTGCATGTCCAAAATGTTATTGTGTTGCAGTGCCACATTCCCGACAGATCTCGGCAGCTAAGCAAGGTCGAGCCTGGATAGTGTTCGGATGAGCGACCGTAGGTGCTTACACTTGTAAGATGCGTGTGCTGCGTAGGGCATACACAGAGGTGTCATCCGTTCATGAAGGAGTTTCATTCGACAGCAGTTTCAGTTAGGTGCGATAGAAATTTGATTGACATAAATGAGTGGTAACTTCTTTTGGCACTCCGCCCCCCCATCGTGAAAGTGCACTGGCTTTGTTGGGAAGTTGGTGATTGTATTCTGGAATGTGTAGTTAGACCCAATGGACTCATATCTTTGTTGTTGATAACTTTTGTTGTTGTTATTTGTGCTCTTTGTTTAAGTGTCATTTCTTGTTTATTCATTTTACATTTTTGCTTTGTAGTAGAAGGGGTTTTCATTGGCTTGGTAGTAGTGGCTGTATATAGGATGATTTTGTAATTATATATAATTAATGTACAGCGGTATGGGATGATGGCATGAATGACGCTATATACAATTAAAGTATTATTTGTTTTAAACGCACACACACACGTGGCAGGTTCTCCCCAGCACCTCTCTGCTGTCATTGTTTCAAATTATTCTGTAAATGTGCTGCTGAACATCGCTAAAGATATATTTGCTTAAGATATCGTAATTATTTAAAGGAATATGCCGTCAGCATTTCAACCGTGCAGTTCAAACTGCCGTCGAATTTCGATTCTTCAATAACGGATTATTTGTTTATATACCCCCGTGTACGTTCAATCACGTAGATACAATAATCAGGATCATTTAAAGATCAATTCACAGTAAGGGATGATGATGATTATGTCAGTATCAAACCGTAACTTAGGCTCATTTGTAAATGCCTGGATAATACATGCGTGTATTTTTTTAATGGACAATACCTTGAGAGATGTATGAAAAATAATAAATGGTTTTACCCTTTCTGACAATCAAACAGGAGGTGTTAAGATGTTCAAACACCAAATAGAAATCTCTTGCAAGGAATCAAGTCTGCATTAAGCACACGTACTTGTGGTGAACATGCAAACCAAACATGCTCTCATAATGTATGCATTGTTTTTTAAACTGATTGGCACACTGTAAACACAACCACATCTATCTAAACAAGTTTACTCTTCTCTTATTTATGACCCATCCCTACTATCCACCTGTGAAAAAGAGCTTCATAGCTCATCGGATTGCTCCAGTAAATCTTAAATATTCTGATTCTGAACGGAACTGAGCGACTTACACTCATCAAACAAACCTCAATTCATCTTCTTGGTTCTTTCGGTAAAGTCACGTAGAATGGAAATAATAAAATAATAAAAATAAAACATTATTATTAAAGTCACGTAGAATGGAAATAATAAAATAATAAAAATAAAACATTATTATTAAAGTCACGTAGAATGGAAATAATAAAATAATAAAAATACTACTTTTTTATTTTATTACTTCCATTCTACGTGACTTTACCGAAAGAACCAAGAAGATGAATCCCTGCAGTCACGAAAGCTTTAAATCGAAACATCAATGGAGTTCGTAATACTGCATTGGCGGTGGTGGACAAAGTACATTCAACGGAATCTCAACACTTTCCGTCAATAGCACTGCTCCCAAATAGTATACACGCGTGTACATTCTAAATAGACGACGTTTCGAGCCGTGCCAGCGCCAGTGGCGAACTGTGTTGAGGTTTCATAATCGAGGTTTTGTTTTTATTTTGGTCGCGAAAGCCGCCGACGTGTTACACTCATTGAGGTGACTTGGTGAGAGCGACAGGAGGCGGCGGGGGGGGGGGCTGTGGGAAGTGAATTGGGGGGCGGTGAAGGGGGTGGGTGGACGGGGGGGGCGGTTAAGGGGGGGGGCGGTTAAGGGGGGGGGAGGTGGACGGGGGTGGGGGTGGTGGAGGGGGAGAGGCGGTTGAGGGAGTGGACGGGAGAGCGGTAGGGGGAGTGGAGGGGGGAGGTGGTCGGGGGGGGGGGGCGTGGAGTGGGGGGGGCAGTGGAGGGGGTGGACGGGGGGGGCGGTAGGGGGGGTGGAGGGGGGAGGTGGTCGGGGGGGGTGGTGGAGTGGGGGGGGGCAGTGGAGGGGGTGGACGGGGGGGCGGTGGAGGGGGGGAGGAGGGGGGAGGTGGTCGGGGGGGGTTGTGGAGTGGGGGGGGGCTGTGGGTGGGGGTGGACGGGGGGGGCTGTGGAAGGGGGGGGCGGTGGAGGGGTGGACGGGGGGGTGGTGGAGGGGGGGGCGATTGAAGGGGGGGCGGTGGAGGGGGTGGACGAGGGGGGGGGTAGAGGGGGGGGGTAGAGTACAGTGCATTTTCTCATGCCTTTTGTCACTGAAACCAGACATCTGTTACCCTCGCCTCTGTCCCCCGGCCCGTGACTCGCGGGGCGAGCGCTCCCCGATTCTCACACACGCCGCATAAAGTCGCTTTTGTTCCGTCGCACCCTCCCGCTTTGTCGCGGCAACAATACTGTTCGGCTCGGGTGCCACGGCTTTCTCATTGAGCTATTAGGCCAGCGGTTTTTCAATCACTCCACCACCCTCGTTATTTTTCATTTATTCTTTGCCCCCCCCCCGCCTCCATCACCAACCCCCACCAAGCTGAATCCCCAAATTCCTTATAATTGCCTGGCTCCCCTATATCCCTTCCCATTCTCATCCCACCCACCCGCCCACCCCTACACCACCGCCGCTTCCACATCCAACCGCGCTTGCCAACCCCAACGATTTAAACGGTGGGCAATTTGGTAACAAGTTGAAAGAAAAAACACATATATTACAACGTACTGATTTTCTGTGTGTGCCAATAATGGGAAGGAAAACAACCGTTTGCAAGTTTTATAGAGCCGTTTAGTAATTTTTACAAACTTGATTTAACATCTACAGCCTACCGGTTGAACCGATTGGGTTGACAAGTATGCACCCCTTGACATACAATCCATGTGTACTGCTATAAACTGGTCCACCACCAGGAGTCAATCGGCAGATCGCGTGTGGCGGGGGTAAAACGCGGCTACTACCACCTCTTCCAACATGCGGAGGAGTAGGCTAAACACCCTCTGAGCGCGGCTCTCTCCAAAGTGCCCTCTCGAGGCAGAACCCTTCTGCCAGCAGCGACGCGAGTAAGAAATTGCAGGGCTGCGCTTTCACCCATCACTCAAGACCGCAGTGCCCTTGGGCAGTGTAGGGGGGAGGCGTTGTCGACGAGTAAATATTACAAACTACTGCCCGCCTCCCCTGGCCCACATTAAAAACCCTTTGCCCACGCAGCACGGCGGTCTCGTGTTTACAAATCTCGCCCGTAAATTAGATCACGTGTCTTGGCACGCGCGAGGCCGTTGCGCTAAGCGAGGCTCAGGGGGGGGGACCCACACCACACGATCGAGCCGAGTGCTCGATTGCAAACGCGAATGAGCGCAACTTGATTGCGGCCGCGTCCCTCTCGCGCTCGCTCTCTATATATATAATCGTACAAAAGAAAATTAAACGTTCAGAGTCAAAAGCGACTACGTGGGACTTTTTTTTTGCCAGTATCAAAGTATGAAAAAAATGAGAATGTGTTTTACACTTTCTGGCAATAAACAGAAGGTGTTAAGATGTTCGAACACCAAATAGAAACTTTTTGCGAGGAATCATGTCTGCATTAATCACAGTCTTAGGTTTGTGTTGCCTCTGAAACGTCTAGATTTTTGTTTTATTTTTATTTTACTTTTATTAATTTTTATGTTTTATTTTTTTACCTACGTGACTTTACCGAAAAAACCTAAGAATATGAATCCTTGCAGTCACGAAAGCTTCAAATCTTGCATTAATCACACTGACTTGTGGTGGACATGCAAACAAAACATGCTCCGATAATATACATGCGTTGTCTTTGAAACTGACGGGTCTATACCAGAGACTGCCTTCTTCAGGGCCTCGTCTCACCGGTGTCAAGCCAGAGGACAACGCCAAAAGGCGAACGGTTTTATTGCCAGAAAGGATGAAACCTATTCTTGTTTTTTCATAGAAAGCTCCTGTTGTGCTTGTTTGGCTTTAACCAAACGAAGAGGACCACGTGGCCCCCGTGTATGCTCTTCTGCCACTTGCCGCCACAAATTGTTACCGCCCAGGAAATGTCGATAACCTACGGATCGATAAGTAGGTCTACTTTCCGTGGGCAAAAGCGAGAGGGAGAACGTCGGTAATTGGAGATGGAGCGATTGAGGTCAGATCGTTGAGCAGGTGCCAATTGGATCGCTGCATCACTGGAGCGTCCATGAGGGATGGCCTTTATCCAGCAGTGGATAGATGATGTCAGATGATGACGGCGATGATGATGATGATGAGATATCGTTTATTTAAATGCAAGTGAGGACCCGTTGAGGCTTAAATCCTTATTTTTAAGTGTTGACCTGAGTAATACATGTCAAATGCCACGCGTTTATTGTAATAAGTTCAATAAACAAACATCACGCATTGCCCGAGATCATAAACAAAATAAAAACATTAACACAGCAGTACGAGTTGATGATAATAATGTAAAGGCCCACCACCACACCGCGTCGACCACCTCGAGTTGTTTGACCATAGGGGCCGTCCATAAATGACGTCACGCACCTGGGGGGGGGGTCAGACATTTGAGACGATGTGTCACGATGGGGGGGAGGGTTTGAGAAATGTGACGTCACATGAAAATGCGCAACTTTAAATAAACATTGACAACACGTTCTACTTAATTAAATAGACTTTTAAATATTTTTCTCACCTACAACATCAGAGTGCAGCGCCACATTAAATACGCACTACAATGACAAGAGTTTAAAGCGAGTTGAAGCATGTTTTATTTGGGGGGGGGGGGCAAAGCTTTGTGACGTCATATTTGAGGGGAGTCTGACTTTTTGTGACGCCGTGTGACGAGGAGGGGGGGGGTCAAAAATCGTCCAAAATCGCGTGACGTCATTTATGGACGGCCCCTTACTTCACCACGCCGGTGAGGGTGGTGAAGTTTGTGAAGTGCGGCGGGCGGGCGGGGCTGGCTGGCTGGGTGGCTGGGTGGCTGGGTGGGTGGGTTGGGTAGGGGGGTAGCGGCGGCGGCGGCCGGGATTCGAACCCAGGTCTCCGCCAGCTTCAAAGCACACGCAAATAAACCTTCCGGCAAAATCCGTGACCAAGGCGCACCTCTTGAATGTGACACCGCTTTGAACGAAGGCAAAAGCATTTGGCGAGCGGGGTTCCTTTCTGATGGGTAAAAAAAAAGAACCGCAAAACGCTTTGGCTGGCCACATCCTGGAAAATTCGTTCTGGTTATAATTCATGTTTAATGTGGCTCTTTCAAAGCTGAGCTCATTACGGTAAATATCAATCAAGTAATTGCCGTGCTAATCTGCGTCATCGCGCACCATGCAAGTCAAGTCGTTCTAATTTCGCGTGCATTTGCAGTTCCCTTGCCAGCTCGTCGCTTGTTCACCCCCCGGAGGGGGTAGTGGGTTTAATGTTTTTTGTTGTTGTGTCAACGTTCGTGATCGTAGCGTTACGATTTCTGAGAAGTGTGCTCATTGTACCGTGCGATCCATGTATAGATACCCCGCTAAAATGTATACGGTACAGTATCGGGGAACAATTACCGTGGAGAAAACAGCAGTGCTTCTCTTTCACAGCATCTTCACATCTGCCACAAATGTGGGCTGGGAACAAGAGTGATCATGCGAATAATGCGCGATCATTAAACGCTCTTCTCTGTGAGATAGGCAGCCATCGCTTTCGCAAAATCCAGGCACCTTTTGAAAAGGAAGTCATTCGAAATTGGTGGGGTATCTATAAATGGCTCACCCTTATAGGTTCATATTTTAATTGTGTCTATACCACTGCTTACTCAGCCCAAATTGTATGGTTCTTATTTTTGTGTTATAATTTTGTAAAAAGTATACAAAGGAACACTTAAATTTCGATTTAAAGCTTTCGTGACTGCAGGGATTCATCTTCTTGGTTCTTTCGGTAAAGTCACGTAGAAGGGAAATAATAAAATAATAAAAATAAAACATAATAAAATAATTCTCACGACGTTTTGGCCACAACGCAAGCAGCCGTCCTCAGGTGAAGAACAGGTCTGTCGGAAAGACAGCGTCTGAACATTCAGACCCTGTCTTTCCGAAACGTCGTGAGAATTATTTTATTATGTTTTCTTTTTATTATTTTATTATTTCCCTTCTACGTGACTTTACCGAAAAAACCAAGAAAAAGGAACACTTGCTTAATTATTTTATTTGTGTATTACCGAATCGGGTGGCCAGTGCGTGGCCCCAACTGCTATGTCAGTAGTTCTCAACCTTTCTCGGCAACTGTTCTGCTTGTTGAATTTTTGTCTCAATCGAGTACCCCCTCGCCCGACCCACCGTGGTTCTGAGAAATAAATGCACGGATAACGAACACCAATGATGTGCCAAAGCATATTGAGCACAAATGAACGGGACGGCCTTCGGCACGTTTAGAAATCACCCCACGTGCTCCCCCGGGGCATTGCCACGTCACCGGTCCGCGTGCGTCCCGGCTGAGAACCACTGAGCGAGGTAACCGAGTCAGTCCCACGCGCTGTCGCTGTTCCCTGCTGTAGGTGCCAGTACGGCTGGCAGGGCTCCCTGTGCGACCACTGCGTGCCGCACCCGGGTTGCGTGCACGGCAGCTGCTCGAAGCCCTGGGAGTGCCACTGCCAGACCAACTGGGGAGGCCTCCTCTGTGACAAAGGTAAAGTGGCTTAAAGCTTCCGTGACTGCAGGGATTCATATTATTGTTTCTTTCGGTAAAGTCACGTAGAAGGGAAATAATGAAATAATATTTTTGTAAAATAATACAAATTCTCACGACGTTTCGACTGCAACACAAGCAATCGTCGTCAGGTGTGAAATCCACGGAAAGAAAATTTTGCGTGTGCGTGCGTGCGTGGATTTCACACCTGATGATGATTGCTTGGATTGTTCCAGGATTGACAAAGGGGTTGTATATTTGTCCAAAAAAAAGTCTTGATAATACAATTATCACGTGTACAGAGTATTGTTGTCTTCATTTTGGAATAAATAATATGCCATTGTGGTCTGCGAGACCCATTTTTCGAAGGTTAAATGCACCCTTTCAAATGTTTAATGTTTCGATTTAAAGCTTTCGTGACTGCAGGGATTCATATTCTTGGTTCTTTCAGTAAAGTCACGTAGAAGGGAAATAATAAAATAATAAACAACGCAAGTTCTTCACCTGAGGACGGCTGCTTGCGTTGTGGCCGAAACGTCGTGGGAATTTTATTACGTTTTATTATTTTATTATTTCCCTTCTACGTGACTTTACCGAAAGAACCAAGAATATTCGGCCCCTTTCACAACGTCTCAAGTCTCCATAACTTGATGGAAAATGTCAATTGTGGCAACGGATCACGAACGCGTTTATTGCAATAAACAGACAACGAGACCGGCTCGACCGTGCGTGCGACTGATTCAACTCCCGCCCGTCTCTCGCGCCAGACTTGAACTACTGCGGGCGGCACCAGCCATGCCAGCACGGCGGCACGTGCTCCAACACGCAGCCCGACAGCTACGAATGCGCGTGTCCCGACGGATTCTCCGGCTCCGAGTGCCAAATCGGTGAGAGCCGCAGCCGTCCCCGCTTGCACCATTCCGCATAAACCGTTCTCGGCGCGTCCCCTGGATACCTGCCGCGCATATTTTTTTTAGGTCGCGCCACTGCATGGCTCTCCGATGTTTTTCTCTGGGTAGTTCGGCGCGTTGTACCAGCACGGTGTCCAACAATAATAATAATTCAACTATTTATAACGAGCACATTTTCACGGAAAGTCAAAATTCCAGTCGCGACTCGAGGGCACGTGGCCAGGCTTGGGGTCCCTGGTACGCTCAACGAAATGGTTAACAATGATGCTAAAGCCATTCATTATTTTACCAGGTGAAGTTCACTGAGCTATTTCAAAAGCGACCAGGCCACAAACGGTAGCTCAACGAAGTGGCTTATTACGTGTAAATGTATAGCAGCCAAATACTCTAAACACGTGTTTATAAACATGGAGGGAAACACCGGAGGACCCGGAGAAGAATCCACGCGACCACTGTTTCCTTCACTTCCTGAAGAAGCTCACAGCACATGAACTGGAGCATCGTTCTGGCAGAGCGCTGTTTCTCCGTGGCTGCTCCGGTCAATTGGCACTGCCATCCCCACTACGCTTGAGCAGCAGCGGCATCGAATCCACCGCCACCACCACCACGGTGGTTAAGAGACGGCTGAAGGCGAGATGTTAACTACCTGACCTGGTATACAAGAGGTCGTGGGTTCGGTCTCGACCCTGACGCCTGCTGTATATTTGGAGTTTGCACGTTCTCCCCGTAGCCGTGTGGATTTCTCTCCGGGTCCTCCGATTTTCCCCTCCACATTTAGAGTCTATATGCGTTCAGAGTATTTGACCGCTGTAAATGTCCACATGATAACAAGCCACTTCGTTGAGTTATCATTTGTGGTCAGGTCGCTTCTGAAAAGGAGTTATACAGTTCAGTGGGCCTTACCTGGTAAAATATTAAAAACATTTTTTTAAAATAAACAGCTTTAAAATGAAAATACGACCAACGACCGTGGAGAAGGCGACACGCTGTACCAACACGAGGAGCCTTCCCATGGAGGCGCCACTTGGAGTTTGCTTCCAAGTCTCCGCATCCCTGGAAAGTCAACGCTCATTAGCTAAAGCAACGACACCACTGGGGCTCCCTCGTCAGTTCCCGAGGGAGCCCTTAGCTTCCTCCCACATGAAGTTTGGTGGTCCTTAATGGGCATTTGCAAGCGAATTCCATCATGTACCAGTGTCAAGGTGGAAATTCCAAATTATCAGCAGCTTAGCCAAATTGTAATTAAGTGGTTGTTTGTGTGTGCAGTCATTAGTGATTGGACTAAGACCATCAAACTCGCTACACACGAGAACCTGGTTTCATCTCGGCTGAGAGCCTGGAATTTGAACCCATGATGTCATCTGCGTTGGCTCAGTGCTCCAATACAGGCGTAAATATTGACTGCCCTCTGAGCTGCCTGGCCACCCCTCCACGGATTATAATTCAGGCGTTGCTCGCCTTGTATGCGTATTTGTCAGTGTATGTTTTGTGAGTACATGTGTGCGCTGTATATGCATGCGGGTATGTACGTGTGGGAAAATATAGCGCATTGCTTACTAACCGAGTTCGATTCCCGCTCAAAACCAATAACAATGGAAAATAATTGAATCAGTCCTGGGCCTCCCCTAGGTCGACTCAGCCTCAAATGAGTACCTGGTACGATGTGTAAACATCGCCACTGGGGAGACAAACGGTGGCGGGGAGACAAACGGTGGCCGGGCCACCCACCCCCTCGTGTGCCGTGCCGGCCTTCATAGATTCTCGCTAAACAGCACTTGCCCCAACGGTCTGTCACAGGCTATGAGGGAGATCACTGTCTTTGTTTGTGTGTGTGTGTACTACGCTCGTATGCGTCCAGTGGAGCGCGCCTGCCTCTCCGATCCATGCCTCAACGGCGGCACCTGCGCCGAGACGGACGCTGCGTTTGAGTGCGCGTGCCCGGCGGGCTGGAGTGGCAAGACGTGCGCGCAAGGTGAGTCCCGCACACACACACGCACGTGCGCGCGCACGCACAAAGACAAAGATCCCCTGTGTAGCTTTGGCAGACTGTTGGGGCAAGCGCCGTTAGCGAGCAGCACCTATGAGGGCCGGCACGGCACACAAGGGGATGGGTGGCCAGTATTACGCCGTGGTCGCCTTTGCCTCCCTAGTGGCGATGTTTACACAGCGCACCAGGTACTCATTTGAGGCTGAGTCGACCTAGGGGAGGCCCAGGACCCGTTCAGATAATCGTCACTGATGTTGGCCGTGAGCGGGAATCGAACTCGGGTCGCCGGGTTCGTAATGCAGCGCGCTAACCGCTACACCACCGCTTCCCCCACAACAACACAACCGCCATTCACCATTCAACACGGGACATCAGCACGCTGAGCAAAAAACTTGGGATGACGCATGAAACAGCGACTATCCCACGAGACGAGCATTGCCGCACGCTCATCGAGTGGTAGACCACTTTAATTCTCAATCATCATCATCATTATAGCCCATCGTTACGTATTTCTTTCAAACCATGCGAGTGAAAGGTGCGTTCACGGACGGCCCGGCAGCACGGTTCCCGCTGCCTCCGTTTGTGCACGGTTGGCTATGTACGGTGCAAAAGAAGTTCAACGCACGTGCATACATACTCGCGTTGGTGAGCAGCTGGCGAGGCCGACACTGCCACCACCGCCGTCGCCGCTACCTTAAACCCTCACTCCGCCGCGTGGAAGATGTTTGCCGCGCCAAGTGACTCACGCGTCGATCGCAGCGAGGGCGGTGGCGGAGAGAGAGTGGACCGTGCGGCGATGGATCCCGGCGCTGTAATGCTTCCCGCATGTTGTTGCGCGGTGCTGGAATGCGCACGAGAAGTTTTGTGCGCTCATAATTTTTATTTTTTTGCAAACTTTTATGGGAAGTGAGAGCCGTGGATTCAGTTGCTGAAACTGGAAGCTGTTTGTTACCCTGGCAGCAAGCGGCATGCGTGGCCACCCACACGTGCAGACCCCCCCCCTCCTCCCACCCACCTACTTACTGACCCACCCACCTACTGACCTACCTACCAAACTACCAGTAGAGTGAGATGAGAGGTAGGAGTGCGTGGAGGGGAGTAGAGTGAGATGAGAGGTAGGAAAGTGCGTGGAGGGGCGTAGAGTGAGATGAGAGGTGGGAGAGTGTGTGGAGGGGAGTAGAGTGAGATGAGAGGTAGGAGAGTGCGTGGAGGGGTGTAGAGTGAGATGAGAGGTAGGAGAGTGCGTGGAGGGGAGTAGAGTGAGATGAGAGGTAGGAGAGTGCGTGGAGGGGTGTAGAGTGAGATGAGAGGTAGGAGAGTGCGTGGAGGGGTGTAGAGTGAGATGAGAGGTAGGGGAGTGCGTGGAGGGGAGTAGAGTGAGATGAGAGGTAGGAGAGTGTGTGGAGGGGAGTAGAGTGAGATGAGAGGTAGGAGAATGCGTGGAGGGGTGTAGAGTGAGATGAGAGGTAGGAGAGTGCGTGGAGGGGAGTAGAGTGAGATGAGAGGTAGGGGAGTGCGTGGAGGGGAGTAGAGTGAGATGAGAGGTAGGAGGGTGCGTGGAGGATTGTGTAGACTTTCAGAGCCATCCTGCGGTGTGCTGGTAGCCAGTCACGGGGATCTGAGCTGTGACTGTACAGACAGCGCAGGTTCACTTTGCAGATTTGACCCCTTAGCCCACGTCCTGTGGCACATCACAGACCACAGCCCCGTGAAATGTGGCCCAGAGGACGGAGCGTGGGGGGGGGGGGTCTGTCACACTCACTAAAAACAGCCCAACGGGTCTCCCATGAGCAATCTCTCCAAACAAACAAAGCGTTTCGCCCGCTCGCTCTGCGGAGGTGTAAGAGTCAGCATTTCTTTCAATTATTTTGTGATTACGATTATTGTTTCCCCTAAAACACAGTTGTGCTCGTTAGGGACGCAGGCGAGGGAATATCACTTACGCTGGCGGCTGGTGGTGGTGGTAGGGGGGGGGCGGCAAAAAAATACGACTGTGTCTCCGCTGGTGCTGATTTTTGCGTGGACGAGCTTTAGAACCGCGAAAAGAGAGAGAGAGGAGGAGGGGGGAGGAGGAGGAGGGGGGAGGAGGAGGGGGGAGGAGGGGGGATTAGGAGGATGGTCACGTTGGCCAACAAACGTTCAACCGAATTGCACCGCATTTCCTGCCTGCCGTTCGAATTCCCATCCGCCGACGCGGCATGCGCGCGCGCACTCTCATCTAACCAGTCGTGAGCGGGGAGACATTTAATTGAGCTCGATCGAATTAAAATTTATTGGTATTCGTATGCAGGTGCTGGGCGAATTACTACATCCGCAGGTTCGCTTGGGGAGTCCTTCATCTAGCGGTGGATTACAACATTGTTCGTGATGATCACGCTGATGGTGAAGTGGACTTCCTGCCAAGATTGGCATTGCGGCGATGCTCATCTCGGGTTGCGCAGCCGCTAAGCCAGTGGTGGAAATCCCACGTTCCTATGCCGGGTGTGAGTACATCCACAGGACAAGCACCGTTGACTTCCCCGCAGACGTGGTCATCGTTTTAGTGACCCTGGAGGACTGATGGGTTGAATCAACCCCCCCCCCAGAGAGGAGCTGAACTCGCAAAGCCTTGCCGATTGCGAGCCGCTCGCTCCAGCACTGGGCAGCCACTTGCTGCTCGCTGGTTTCTGAATCGGAGGCAGCTACGGCCACGGCGTTGTGAGAGACTGGATGCATCTCCTCCCAGCCACTCGGGAGGCATTGACATGAACACGAAAGTGAATGTGCCAGAGTGGAAGCGATCGTGTCCTGAGTACGCCCGACACGCCGTGGTATTTCATGACCATCTCTGCCTCTTTGAAGGCAAAATGGACACATACGCTTAGTTTTTTCGGTAAAGTCACGTAGGTAAAAAATGAAATTAAAATTAATAAAAGCAATAATAGAACTAAAATAATAATATTTTTAGTGATTTTTTATTACTTTATTTCTATTATTACTTTTATTAATTTTAATTTCATTTTTTACCTACGTGACTTTACCGAAAAAACTAAGAGTATGAATCCTTGCAGTCACGAAAGCTTCAAATCTAGAAACAAAATTGACACATTGCTTCTCAGTGAGCTGCGGTCCTAATCGGTGGACGCACGGGGCCCAAGTTTCAAGCCACCCGCTCTTCCACTCGAACAATCGACCGCGTCCGTAAGAGTGTTCCGAAACGTACATCCCTGTAAGTCGTGGGATTGCCCAGTGAGCCGTGTCACTTGCCACCGCAGCCCCCCCCCCCCCCCCCCGCCTGTTGCCGGGCAGGAGGTGCTTTTAATAGAACCCAGGGAGGAAGGATACTGAAGACGCGCGGTGGCACGGCCGGTGATTGCCACCCTCACCCCCCATCCCAACCGCAAGCCCTCCCCGCTCCTTCCGAGCCATCCGCCCGCGCTCCTTCTCGGTGGCACGATGAGAGGGGCGGCGTGACACCGCTCACGGCGAGTGGCAGCGTTGGCGGTGAAGCACGCGGCGCTGAGAAACCCGGCGACCTGGGTTTGATAATTACCGCTCACGGCCAACGCCAGCGACGATAATTATCTGAGACCGGTTCTGGGCCTCCCCTAGGTCGACTCAGGTCTGAAGTGAGTAGCTGGTGCAGGCTATACGGGGGGGGGGGGGGTCTTTGCCTTTGTCCTGTGTTAGCGGTGTAGCTCTTGGGTGCGCAGGCAGCGCAACTGCACCAGGGCCCACGTGACCAGGGGGCCAGGTACCAGTAGGGCTGCCCCACCTGTGCTGGTTTTTTGCAGCGTCGTCTTCTTGTTCAAGAGGTTTCCGCCGCTACTGTCCTGGGAAATCTGCATGGAGTCTTCCTGGGAACGTTAAAGGCCTCGGTTATTATCGGTGGCGCAAGCGGTCGAAACGGCAACGTAGGAGCGCCGCTATGGAACCGCTTCGTGCCGTCGTTTCCCCTCTGCGGAAACACCACCGTAGAATAGGAATGGGGACCGTTGTGAACAGTGCCGGTCGACGCAAGTGTTTGGAGTTGTGTGACAAGTGCCGCTGTGACATGTGCTGTCGTGTGGCGGCACAGTTCTATCAGCACTGGCTCGCGTAATAATAAATAATATGCCGCTCAATGTACGGGCAGTTCTCCCCTTATTCAGTATTGTTAGATATTCATCTTATTCTTCCCATGATATATCCTGGTTTTTTTTTTTGCACCTCAGAGGTAGCAACCCAGAGACACCAGGCTGGGAAGAGCGGGGGCAGGGGAGGGATTTGGAAAGGGGTAGCCGTGTTCGATTCAACGTACTGGAGCCCCATGCCAAGCACGCTATGCCACCATCCTGTCGCTTGAACCCAGAGCGGCTAGCCACGGTGTGATGCCACGGTGTGATGCCATGGTGAGATGATGCCATGGTGTGATGATGACACGGCGTGGTGATGCCATGCCGTGATGGTGCCATGGATAACATTGCCAAGCTTTCAACCGCACGTCAGATTGCGTCTTGAGGTTGAACGTTGGGTTTCGTTACGAAAGTTGTGTCTGCTGTGCCGAGGCGCGGTGGCTGAACGCGGCTACAGCTGTCGCTGGAAATTCCACTGCATTTAAAGGAAACTGTGTTTCGAGATTTATAAGAGACGTTAGTTGGTGCCCATGCTGCTCTGGTGTCCTGGGAGTGGGGTGATTTACAGGGCCGCGTGTGGAGGCTGAGAGAGAGGAGGTGAATCGGGGGTAGAAGTGAGGCAGATGTGGTGGTAGGGGGCATTGTTTTTTAGGCGAGCGGTGACGCAGAATTGAGTTCGATTCCCGGACGAGGCGAAGATTAGTGATGAGTGATATCCGAACCGTTCCTGGATCACCTCCCTTCACCAACCTGCACTGACCAGCGTGGTGAAGTATGGTCAAATAACTCCCTGGACTGACAATGGCATGCAGAGGCATTCATCCAGCAGTTTGGTTAACAATGGCTTGTAATTATACTGGTAGGAACCACCTGGTTCCACCAGCCCACAGGGGATTATTGTGTCCGTCTGTCCGTCATTCATCCAAAAATGGGAGGGGTCGGGCTGGGTGGAGAGGGGAGGGTGGGGAGGGGCTGGGTGGGGAGGGCGGGGTGGGAAGGGGAGGGTGGGGAGGGGCTGGGTGGGGAGGGTGGGGCTGGGTGGGGGGTGGGAGGGGTGAGGAGGGGCTGGTCACCCCATGGTGCCAACTCAACGTTTAACCTACTCACGCCGGCATGTGCCCGCACTCACAGTCGGCCATATTTGCGGAATACACCACGCCGCCGTTGACCCTGGCCATTGACCGAGCAACCCAACGTTCCTATCAGCTCCCTCCGCAGGAATGTGTTTTTATTTTAATAGCCTTTTGAAATGATGCGTCCCTTTCTCAAGGGAGACCTGCATCACATAAAGAAAATCTCAATTGCAAATATTCTGCAAGAAAAGCAACACGCGATAATGATATCTTCATCCAGCAGTGGATTGAGATGTACAGTATTGTAATATTTTAATGCGTGACAAATCTTAAGTGAGCCAACACATTTCTGTTAATGCATACAATACAAAAAATATGTATTCTATCTGAAGAGCCCACGACTGTGCGCCAAATATCTCCGGCGGCATTGGCACGCACCATTAAACAACGGGGAGCTTTCCATGAATTAACGACCTCTCAAGTTCACGCGAAGCACTCTGGCCAAGTTCGTAGATCCAAGATCGACGCATCAGGGATTTGATTTTTTTTATTCCTCTAGGACAGGGGTTGGCAACACCAACGTAACAAGAAAATCCGTGTTTTTTTTTCTCGAAGTCGGTCATAAACTCAGTATTTCAAGGGCCACAATCGCATACTTGTCAACCCGTACGGTTTACCCGTATTATTGTACAGATAAATTGAGTCTTCAGGTCCATACGGCGTACAGCCGTGGCAATACCGGCACATGTTTTTCTCTATTGTTCATGTTTCTCCCTTGCGATGGGACTTTGTAGGATGAACGTTGAGATATATAAGGTCACGGGGTGACCAATAAGGTCTGAATTGGCCTGTAATAAGGTAGGGCACTGATAAGGGGTTGACAGGCATGCGATCGCATGTGAATAACGCGACGAAGCAGTCGCTTAAAGAGCCGCAATTGGCTCCGTAGCCCATGGTTGCCGACCCCTGCTCGCGGACAAAACATTATTTGAAGGGAGGGGGGGGCGATGTTTTGCATCCGCTTTGCCAAGTCGCCTCTGACACAGAGAACCACAGGTCGACCTGCATGTGTTTATACGGCAGTGGGTAGGTCAAAGGTCAGTATACGGAAGAGGGACTGTTCCAACAACAACTACCGCCTATTCGCCACTAAGTGGTGGTGACGTCACCACGGCGCTTGTGCCATGCTAGGTGCACTTTGAGGTCACGTGAAGTGTCGAAGGCCTGCTGGCAGGAGGTCACTGAACCAGACCCAGGTCGCATGGGTTGACCGACTGTGCACCCATCACTATGCCAACTTTCTGCGTTTTAGTCGCCCGGCGCTCTGCTCGTGGGTAAGTGGGTGAGTGAGTGGGTCAGTGGGTGTGTAAATGGATGAGTGAGTGACTCACTCACTCAAAGATCAGACTGTTGGGTAGAATGCTGTTACCCACTCGCACGCCCATTCATCCACTTTCACACCCACTGACCCACTCATTCACACACTCACCCTCTCACACATCCACGCACTCACTTGTTCACCCACTCACACACCCACTCACACACCCACTTACACACCCACTGACCCACTCACTTCCACACCCACTCACACACTTAGACACCCAGTCACACACCAAACAGGAGTGGGCAGGTCCAATGTCAACATGCGAAAGTGAGGCTACTCTAACAACACCGACCCACGTGGCTGCGGTGAGCCACAGACCATGGAACATCTATTGCTCTGCCAACTCCTAGAAGAACCATGCACAGTGGAAGACCTTTCCAGGGCTATAGACTGGGCCATATCAACATCATGAACCATGGTCTATCCAATGCTGGCCATATAATAACGTGCATGTTTCTGTATTAAAAAAATATTACTGTGATGGCAGGTCACATGGATACGATTGTCCAGGGCAAGAGAGTGCAACTTCGATTCGCTATAGAAAATGACATTATCATCGACATATTCAGTGAGAAATAATCCCTGTGTGAGACTGTGGGTCCCTACGTGCAGTCCATTGGTCTCTAGAAGTCAATGTGTATCAACGTGAGTGTTTGTAAGTCATAATCGCTTGTCACATACAGCTCTCTCTGCCCACTACAGTAAAACATTTTTGCTGGGTTTGTTCCACCTGATGACGGAAGCTTGTGTTGCCTCCGAAACGTCGTGATTTAGTTATTTTTAAATTATTTTCACCTATGTGACATTTTTGAAAGAACCAAAGACTATGGATCCTTGGGCTTTGTGAGTCCGAATTCTCTATGCGAGACCAGGGACTTCAGACGGATCTCTCCGAGTCAGCAACCCAGAAAATATATCTACGCACGGCACACATCATCCAGTCCACCACTCGCTATGGCCGTGGCCACGACTGGACCTCTATGAAAGAAAGAGCTTCATAGCGCGTCGGATTCATCCCGGTACAGCTAAATATTCCGCTTCTGACTCGTCTCTTGCCACCTACTCTCATCTACGAGCGACTCGGGAAATACGCGACGAGCTCCGGCCGTTCTCCCACGGCTGTAACCGCCGACGCCGCGTGATGTCTGTGCGCGCAGACGAGGACGAGTGCGAGCAGAGCCCCTGTGCCCACGGTGGGGAGTGCGCAAATCAGCCGGGCGGATTCATCTGCAGCTGCCCTCCCCAGTGGACCGGACGCACGTGCCTCGTCGGTGGGTGCTTGGAGTCTGCCACCACTCGCGTTCACGCGCACGCACGCACGGAGAGAGAAGCGTGCGAGAGAATGTGTTAGAGAGTGCAAGCCACCAGCACCCCCCAACCCCTGGAGGCATCAGTGATCCCGAGCCATCGTCGTCGCTCTCATTCCCCACACACGTGTCCACTCCGCAGGACCTCGCTCATGCCTCCCATCGGCACCTCCACTTAGCACGGTTGGCTACGCACGGTGCGAAAGAAGTTCAACGTAAATTTAGATTTAAAGCTTTCGTGACTGCAGGGATCCATCTTCTTTGTTCTTTCGGTAAAGTCACGTAGAATGGAAATAATAAAATAATAAAAATAAAGCAATAAAATAATTCTTATGTTTTATTTTTATTATTTTATTATTTCCATTCTACGTGACTTTACCGAAAGAACCAAGAGGAAGTTCAACGTAGATACATCTGTGCGACGGCTCCCGCATCCACCGTTAACCTTAACCCATAATATTAGATTGGTGATAATAAGAAGAACGATTACACCTTGTGACACGCCACCGCACTGTATTCACTCAACTCTCGTAGCGGGAGGAGACCCTCACCCTGACCTCCATCACATCTCGACCATGGCAACTCCCCGACGCAACGTGCCACACGATAGCCACGCATTGTGAGATGATTCGCACTCAGAGGCTGTTGCACAGACGGATTCGAGAGTCATCTGGTGTACTGCCATCTTCTGGCCACCTCGCAGCGAATTATAGTTTTAATGCAATTTACGAACATTAATTATTTTCGCATTTTATCACGCACACCGTCACTATTCCACTTTTTTTTTAAAATAAATTTCCCATCCTTTTTCCTCGTGGGTTTATGGAGCTATGCATTGTCCATGTTTCCTTTGGCAACCCAATGCCTTTCCATACCTCTCCTCTCCTTCGATATGTACTTCGTGTGTTATCATACGCAACTTATAAATCTAGATTGAAAATGTATTTCTTCAGTACTGCTTCTCGTGTTTAGTTTGTTGTCCTTCCCCGCACCTCTGATTATCACAGTTGGTTACATACGGTGCGAAAGAAGTTCAAAATAGATACACAGACGGTGACTTTTCCTCTGTTTTAATTTGACCCCTAACCGCCCCCGTCCCCTCACGTTCAGTGCAACTGTCCCCTACGATGCTCGTTAACTATTTAATTTTTATTGCTCGCATCCATGTCATTAGTTTGTTTTCTCTAGGGATATGAATGTGTTGCCTAGGACCGGTCCCAACTCACCCAGCTCCTGAACGAGGTCGTTGACGTGTACTCTCTCGTACAGCGTGGAGAGAGCTGAAAAGTGTGCCGGGAAGCGTGGAGAGAGAGAGAGAGACAGAGACAGGGGGGCACGCGGGGAATTACGCCGAGAGACAGAAAGAGGAGGAACACACGCATCAGATAACGAATGCAAATCGCAAACATCACGTTGACTGTCAAGAGGAGGAAAGTGGTCGCGAGATCGGATGGTGGCCACGGGGCAATTCTCGGCAATGGAATGGATGGAATAGAAACCAAATGGTGGGGAACGTATCCAAGAGAGTGTGAAAGAGAGCCGACACGAGGTTGCAGGCGGTTCGTCTTTTATTTTTTCCTTCAGTCCACACTCGTGCCCAGCCTTCTCAATCTCGTTCTCGTCAAGATCTCCCCTCTTACCACCCGTTCTCTCTCTTATTAAATCCTTCATATTAAGTTCACTTGCTTGCTTGCTTGCGAGCTTACGACCGTGCAAATCTTTCGGTCGTTTTTAAACCCACTTCCCGTGATCCGATCGAGCTGACATTTTGCACACAGACTCGTTGTGCGTGACAATTTATTTTCGTGAAAATATTTTTCCAAAATGTTCCACTTTTTAGGAGAAAAATTTTTTTCATATTTAATTTAAAATACCAATGTGATAAAAATGAAACTCTTACTCAAGAAAAACAGAAATGAATAATAAAATAAAACCGATGCCACGCATATAAAGGATTTATAGTGAAAAACTTTGTTTTTACGGGTTAATTTTATCTCCTCGCTTCCCCTGTCACCATCCCACTCCCCCTCCTTTTGGTGGGAATCCTTCCCCTGACGTCCCGTACAAGAGGATCCCCTCTGCGGAGATGGAGCAATGAGAAGAAGCTCGTGTGCAGGAGTGGGATTAATCACGCGGGAGGGGGTCAATGGCTTGCGGAGCTCCTCGTAAAGCAGTAGATGGATTCATACTCTTAGTTCTTTCGGTAAAGTCATGTAGGTAAAAAATGAAATAAAAATTAATAAAAATAAAATAAAAATCACGACGTTTCGGAGGCAACACAAGTCTCCGTCATCAGGTGGGACCGTCACAGCCAGATTTGATGTATCAAGTGAGCCTGATTTGCTGTATCAAGTGAGCCTGATTTGCTGTATCAAGTGAGCCTCACTTGATACAGCAAATCTGGCTGTGACGGTCCCACCTGATGACGGAGACTTGTGTTGCCTCCGAAACGTCGTGATTTTTATTTTATTTTTATTAATTTTTATTTCATTTTTTACCTTCGTGACTTCGTCGAAAGAACTAAGAGTATGAATCCTTGCAGTCACGAAAGCTTCAAATCTAGAATCAGTAGATGGATCATGTATCATGGTGACGTAGATACTGTATGGGGGTTTTCTAATTATAATTATCGGCTAGTGTATGCTTTATTTATTTTAAAAAATTCTGTGTCTATAAAGGATATTGTTATTTATAGATGTTTCGATTGCTTGAAAACGTTACTCCATCCGCACAAATGACTGATCTTCCTCCCACATGCTCGAAAAAGGCATTCACTTATCTATTCCTGGCGCCTGCCTCCGCTGCTGGGTTCAGATCTTCCGGTAAATCTGCGACAGGCCTCCTCCACACGTGGCTTCCCCTTAAGCCACGTCAACACTCACCCCCTTCATAGATAAAAAAACATCGAAAAGAGTGCCAATTTTTTCCGTTTCATTTTAAGCAAGACTGTGATGTACAGTGATGCCCCAAATTGACGTCTCCCCCCCCCCCCCTATTTTTGACATCGTTTCGCAAATACGTCGTCACTTTATTTAATACCGCGAGCTTATTCGCGTCGCCTCAAGCCCGCACTTACGTCGGTGACAGCATCGCCGGTCCTTTCTCGTCATCCTCCACCACCACCTGTCCTGTAAATCGCTTTGATTGACGTCGTTTTGATATTCGTCGTCGCACCTTTCAGGAACGCATCCCCGACGCAGACCGGGGTATTTCTCGCCACGGTGGCTAGGAGATGTTACCTACCTCGCCTGGTATACAGGAGGTCGTGGGTTCGATCCCGATCCTGACGTCTGCTGTATATTTTGGAGTTTGCGTGTCTCTCTTCCCGTGATCGGATTCTCCGGTTTTTCCCCTCTACATTTAGAAACACGCGTTTAGAGTATTCGGCTGCTATACATTTCCACGCGATAAGTCACTTTGTTGAGCTATAGTTTGTGACCACGTCGTTCTGAAAAATAACTCCATATTTCAGTGGGCCTTTCCTGGTAAAATAAAAAAATTGTTATTTCTGGATATAAAAAAATAAAATAGTAGTTAAACAAATACAATTCACACCAAAAAAGGCGAGAAAACTTTCAATAAGTTGGGCAAGGTGGCCCAGCGCGCCGACCGCTGGTTCTTCGCTGAATGTCGCACCCCCGCTGTGAATTCGACAGACGCCGACGAGTGTGAAGACAACCCGTGCAAGGGCAACGCCAAATTCTGCAAGAACCTGTTTGGCGGCTATTATTGCGAGTGCCTGCCCGGCTGGACGGGCCACGACTGTGACGTCGGTGAGTGGCACCACCACCACCTCGCCCTGCACCACCAACTCACCACCAACTCACCCCGCACCACCAACTCACCCCGCACCACCAACTCACCCCGCACCACCACCTCGCCCCGCACCACCAACTCACCCCGCACCACCACCTCGCACCACCAACTCGCCACCAACTCACCCCGCACCACCAACTCACCCCGCACCACCAACTCACCACCAACTCACCCCGCACCACCAACTCACCTCGCACCACCAACTCACCACCAACTCACCCCGCACCACCAACTCACCCCGCACCACCAACTCACCCCGCACCACCAACTCACCACCAACTCACCCCGCACCACCAACTCACCCCGCACCACCAACTCACCACCAACTCACCCCGCACCACCAACTCACCCCGCACCACCAACTCACCCCGCACCACCAACTTAGAGGGTGGGGGGCACGCTGGCTGCTGGCTGCTGCTGCTGTCTAATCCCAGTTGTAGGATCCTGTGGTGTAAGTTTTTCGATTTGGCCAATGTGGACCCGGACGCCGGCACGCAGCGGCCCCCTCTTGCCAATGACATCACGGGATCTTTAACGTCCACCGTGAAACGAGCGGCCGCGTGGTATTACGGTTCCGTTCTCCGATAGCGCCGCGTGCAGTTTTCAGAACGCGAGTTGACTTCGAAGCGATGAATGTGTTCATGACGCGGATGCGAATTGGATATAACGCGATCGAGTGAACAGAACAACGTCGTGCGTGTCGGATTAAGCGATTGAGCGTCTGCCTCGGCGTTGCGTCGCACAAGGCGGGATGCTGCTGGATGCTTATAGACGCTATCCACGTGTGCTCAGTCATTGTTCGGCCTACGCACGCATATCACGTTTTATCGCGGACTTTGCTTTACCCGGTATTAGACATTATAACGCGAGTTTTTGTTCCATAAAGCGGTGTTCTTCAGCAACGCAACTCCCGCGTTATAGGAGAACATAGTCTATGACGGTCATTACCAGGGGTGGTTTCTTCATTAGGGCGATTGGGCGACGCACCACCAATGTCATTCAACCACAGAGTTACGCTAGCCGTTATTGTGCCTCTGGATATAGTCCAATCAGCGGCATGTCACGTTTTGTGGAGTACCGCCTCTTTTTGGGCGATTTCACTCTGGCTGAGAATCGCCCAGAGTGTTCCCATAGACTTACATTCAAAGATGTTTTTTTTTTCGAACGGCGGGCGCTCCAATGCATTCTCTATGGCTTCCGGGAGGGCTCGCACTAACGTGCTTACGTCATCATACGTAAGCACGTTTCAGTCAACAATATTATTTATCGCCACCTAGTGGAATCTTTAATAAAAGAAACTGAGTGGATTGTAATAATAGTGAGTATAGAAACAAACAAGATGTATTGTAAGAGTCACTTTATTTTTCACGAATATTAAAGAAGTGAAGTTGCCTTTACATGCTTAAGCTGTTAATTTATCCATTGCATGGGTGGACCTTATCCTTATCAATCATCCAGACATTTGCCCCCCCTGAGAGATTTTGCAGGAGCCGCCACTGGTCATTACGCCCACAGTGAGCGGGACTTGATTTCAGCTGCAGCTGTCTAGGGCTGAGCTCCAGAATATAATTCCCCACCAGCCTCCCCTGCCCCCTACCACAACCCTCCCCATATTTGTGGTAAAAAATAGCGTGCACTTGACCGTGTAATTTATCGATATTAAAATAGCACGCGATCCTCGTGTTTGCTAAACGAGTAGGCATGTATCTATGTATTTGTGTCAACAATATGCCGTGACGTAACGAGGGTAACAACACGATGCACGAAACTACGCGCATCTGTTCGGCAGGCACGCTGTAAAGTAAAAACAAAAACGTAACCAGTCGGCTGAAGGTTTTGAGTTTGTTTGAATTGTCACAACGGACGATGTTCCCGTTCAGCCAGCAGCTATTTTAGATGTTTTACGAGGAATGTTGCACCACTCACAAATGGGGTCAAGCTGCTGCCCTGGAACTGCTTGCTCACGCCACTCCTGGCGGAAGGGATTTCCCCCTCCAGGGGGTATTTGGCCTACTCTTCCCCCCGCTAGAGTCGGCGGCTGTGTGCACATTAGTCCTTTGTTTTTGTCTCGCTGCAGGTGTCGACGATTGCCAAGGACGGTGCTTAAACGGCGGCACGTGCACGGTGGTAAGAGAGACCAGACGACTCCCGTTTGGGCTTCATCGTCACCACCATCATCATCATCGTCGTCATCATCGTCGTCATCGTCACCACCATCGACGTCATAATCGTTATCGTCATCAACGTCGTCATCATCATCGTGATCATCGTTATCATCGTCGTCATCATCGTCGTCATCGTCACCACCATCGACATCATAATCGTTATCGTCATCAACGTCGTCATCATCATCATCATCGTTATCATCGTCATCGTTATCATCGTTATCACCACCACCATCATCGTAATCATAATTCATTGTGGAACAAACTAATTTGTTCCTGGGTAGTAAGTGTTATTTCCTAATTGCTTATGCCTCAAAAGGTGCAGAAGATGGCTATTATTCCCCACAAATTTTGCTTTTGTGACCAGAACAGTGATATTTTGAAATGTAGCTATTGCCAATGAGAAAACGTGGTGTGCATTAGTGTCATTCCTTCACGTAAAGTCCTGGTCAGAAAAGCAAAGTTTGTGGGGAATAATAGCCATCTTCTGCACTTTTCAGGCATAAACAATTAAAAAATAACACTTACTACCCAGGGACAAAAATCGTGTTACATGGTGTATAATCATTCTTGCATTCATATAATCACACTTATATTACGCCCATAACAAAACGTCCCAGAGTTCAGATTGTTACCCGAGGGGACTCCTAATGGCAGCTTGCCCCTGTTGATTCAATATTAGTTCTACCGAAGCAATATTTAATCAAACACACAAATGCATATCACACTCCGAGGGCACAACCGGAGAAAGGTGCAAACGAACACAGACACGCACATTCAGACAAAGTGTGTCGTCAGCGTAAATATGAGATCAGAACGGAGATGGCGAGCGGGTCTATGATTGTGGGGGTGTTGAGGGGGAGAGCATGTACGATGCATACTGTATGAAGAAAATTAAACAAGTCGATTAAGGTTAATCCAATGTATCGTGAGAGCATCTCCGTTTCAAATAGCGGCACTTAGAGAAGAAGAAAAAAATGTAGCATCCGCTTCCAGGGGCTGTTCTTTCACACTCGAAGGAGTATGCCGATCTGCAACACATCCAAACGGATATTTCGTCTCGTATGTATGTCGAACTTATTTTGCGCCGTACGTAGCCAACCGTGTTAATTGTCGGTGTGGGGGAAGGACAAGAAACTGAACACAAAGAGCAGCTCTAATGAAATCAGTGTTCAATCGAGATTATTTAAAATTGCACAGCTCCAGTCCAGTGGCTTCCTAATATCGGAAGGGAGAGCGTTCCAGACGGCCTCAGAAGCGCATCTTGAGAGCGTGCGATGCAGTGGCCGTCTTTGTTCGCTGGCTCGGCACATTAAATAAACATCGGTTCATCATTGACCCCGCGTAGTAGGGTAACTGTAACGAGTAAAGTAGCGGTTTCCGGAACGACGGAAACAAAAACATCTGAAAGACTCCCTGATCGTCCTATGAATTACCGACACGAGCGATCGCGCGAACTCCGCGTGCCCGCTTCGCGGTGATGGATGTCCTCGTTTTTTTTCAACTTCCTTTCAGGAAGCGGAGAGGGGATCGCGGTGTTCGTGCCGGCCCGGCTACACGGGGCGCCGCTGCGAGAAACCCATCGACGGTAACTTCACCCTCTGCCGCGCGTCTTCTACCCCCCTCACCCCAACCCACCCCCTCTCTCTCTCTCTCGGGAAATCTCTCGCCCTCCGTCTCGGTTTTCTCCGCGAGACTCCACCGAGCGGAAAGCCGAGTCACGGGGAGTGGGTGGCGCAGCTGGAAGAGGAGAAGCATAACGGGGGGGGGGGGCTGATCTCTTGCGAAGTGCCGGGTGGATGGGGTGAGAGTCGGCGGGAGGACTGTGCCGAGTGGCCCCCGTTGACTTAGCCGGGGGGGGGGGGGCAGCGTTGGAGGGGAAGCCAGGACTACGAGCCGCCTCGATTGCGTTGTTCGTTTGAACGAGGACTCACTTTGCTCAAATGAAATCTGGCTGCCGCCTGATGATGCCGGTTGTAATTGCTGGCGAAACGTCGTGCTCAGATTGTAAATGTTGCGGATTTGCTCTCCAACACGCCGGTGTTGCTGTACTAGTAAGGTGACAAACCTTACTCATTGATTGTCTAGGGTGATAGCGGGTTTAACGTCACATTTATATTCACGCGATTTGATCCAAAATAAAGTGTATTATGGATTATATTGGTCGCGGGAGCCTACGTGTTAAACGAAGTTGTTGGTGTCGGCGGGTAAAGCTCGGACTAGTGGCTGCTTCGTTAATTGGTTAGGATCGGGATGAGTGAGAGGTCAAATACAATTGGCCTGTTGGGTAGTTGATCAGGGCTACGGTTAGTACGGATTGCTAGTTGTCTGAATTATTTTGGAGTAGGGTTATGATCGGTGAGAGGACTTGTACTAGTGATTTAGTCTGTGTGTGTTAGAGAGCGAGTGCACAGAATCTGCGTGGGTATTGCCACGGTCAGTTAGAGGGGCCCAAGTCCTCCTTGTTGCCTGCAGGGCCTTTAACCGACACGCCGTTTCGGCTCGTTTTTGGGGAACGTGAACGTTTCGCGGTGACCGATGTAAATGCGCGATAATATTTCGTTTGTTGTATGATAGTCACGGTAACTGCGCGGCCCGTGTCATCCCCCCCCCCCGTCCGCCTGCCCCCCCGGAAAAAGCCCAATGGTTCCGTCTTTGTGTTGCCGTCCGCCGGGTTCGGAGGGCGCAAATTCGTAAAGAGCGACGGCGTTGGTGTGAACGTTTCCACGCTCGCAACAACCTTTAAGTCTGCCTTTGGCGGCGGTGCTGCATTTGTTGAACAACACAGGGTGGGGAAGTGGTGGTGGTGGGGGGGTGATGCGCTGCGTGGCTCAATGTGCACTCGCTTGTTTGGAAATTCCGGCGTTTCAGAAACGGCGGCGATGAGGCGGGCGGCGACGGCGGCGGTGGCGGCGGCGGTGGGGGGGTGCCGCCAGGGGAAGGCGCGCGGAACAAATTGCGTCTCGTCTCACCGCCCGCCACCCCCAAAATAAAAACAAACGGAAAAAATAACCCCCCCCCCCCCAGAAATAAACACCGCGCTTAAGGACGGCTAATGCGATCCGTGCTCGAGTGCACACTCAGAGCCTCTTGCCAGCGGAGGCCACTGCCACTATTTACTCCAGAGGGAGCGAGGGGGGGGGACGTTTTTTTGAGTCCAACGTGATCTTGCCTCCATCACTTCACCACTTCGGTCACCGCCGCCTGCCGCTACAAATAAGGCGGGCAGTGACGCTCGGTGCCCGGCGCGGAAAGAGCCGCGGGCTGCCCCCCCGAAGTCCTCCCACCGGCAACGGAGCGAAGCCGCTCGCTCGTAAATCTGCCCGCGTCAGGGCCATCGCGGGCAGCAAGGCGGAGGCGGCCCCCATGCGCCGAGACCCGAGGTGTCAAACCGCGCGGAGCGACGTGATTTTTGGAAGAAAATTAGTTTTTTTTTTATGAAAAGGCCCTCGCGATGCCGTCAGAAGCGGGTTCAGGGTTCGCGGGCCGCCGTCGTGCAAATATAGCGTTCCCTTAATGATCGCGTCGCCAGTCGCGTGTATTTTCGTTGCCCGTTCCCCCCCCCCACCGCCCACCGAAGTGAGTGAGTGGGGATTACTCGCCGTGGGTAGTCCTGGATAGGGAGCCAAAAATTGTCCGCTAATGAACGCCGTCGCCTTACGCACGGAATATGGACATAACTCGAAGTGCCGCACCCGGCTCGCTAACCGCGCGGGGCTAATCGAGTTTCGAACGTGATCCTGCCGCGGGTGCTGGCGCGCGTCCGCTTCGTCCGCACCTGCCGTCGCTGTTTCATTTCATCGGTTGGCAAATTGCTGAAACCCCGAGTTCGATTGGCAAACCAAGGGCCCGAGCGATATCTGAACCGGTTCTTGACCTCCCTGCCGCCGCCCCCCTCCCCCAACCCCTCCCACCCCCCTTCACGGTTACCCGCTCCGACCGGCGTAGTGAAGTACGGTCACACAATCCCCTTGATCGACACGCCGTTGAGAGACCTTCCTCTATAGCAGTGGGCCAGGCAAAGGGGGCTGCGCTGACATTTGGTTCACTTTCCGTCGCTTGTCTCATGCAGCACAGTGCATGCGCGTCGACTCAGCCTCAAATGAGTACCCGGTGCGATGTGTAAGCATCGTCGCTAGGGAGACAAAGGCGGCCGGGCGTGGTGCTGGCCACCCGCCCCCTCGTGTGCCGTGCCGGCCTTTATAGGTGCTCGCTAACAGCACTTGCCCCTACAGTCTGTTAAGGCCATACGAGGGATCTTTTGTCTTTTTCTATATGTGGCATAACGTGGTTGACACGGGCCCTTGGTGGTGCAAGAAATGATATGGGACTCCCCCATGTTAAACAATGTTGCCCATCTCCCATGGCCCTCCACCTGGACTCAGTTGCACTGCCTGCGCACTCGATAGCCACGGCGCTGACCTCGGGGGCGCGCGTGTGCGTGTGTGTGTGCCGTGCGTGTTTGTGCCGTGTGTGTGCCGTGCGTGTGTTTGTGCCGTGTGTGTGTCGTGCGTGTGTGTGTACCGTGTGTGTGCTGTGCGTATGTGTGTGCCGTGCGTGTGTGTGTGCCGTGTGTGTGCTGTGCGTATGTGTGTGCCGTGCGCGTGTGTGTACCGTGTGTGTGCTGTGCGTATGTGTGTGCCGTGCGCGTGTGTGTGCCGTGTGTGTGCTGTGCGTATGTGTGTGCCGTGCGTGTGTGTGTGCCGTGTGTGTGCTGTGCGTATGTGTGTGCCGTGCGCGTGTGTGTGCCGTGTGTGTGCTGTGCGTGTGTGTGTGCCGTGCGCGTGTCGTCTCGCACGTGAGCAGGGCCTGAGAACTGCACAGCGGCCGTGGCGAACAGAACGGCGGGGGGTCCGGCGGCAGTGCCGGCGGTGGCCGTCGGAGACTCCTGTTGGAACGGAGGCTCGTGCGTGTGGCAGGCTGGCGCTCTCCGCTGCGTCTGTCCCGCCGGCTGGGAGGGGGAGCTTTGTGAGCGCGGTAGGTGCCGGATTCCGGCTCGGCGGGGCAGGCCCGCCGGCGGTTGGGTCAATTCTGCGGCGACGGAATTACGGAATGGCACAGAAGTTGCCAATCACAACGTGAAGACAGAGTCTGAATCATTCAGACTCTGTCTTCTCGACAGACCTGTTCTCCACCTGAGGACAGCTGCTTGCGTTGTGGCCGAAACGTCGTGAGAATTATTTTATTATGTTTTATTTTTATTATTTTATTATTTCCATTCTACGTGACTTTACCGAAAGAACCAAGAAGATGAATCCCTGCAGTCACGAAAGCTTTAAATCGAAAATTATTTTTGCCTTTGAAGTTTCTCAATGTTCGTGCCGCAAAAGTTTACGTGAATATTAGCCGCTCTGACAACCCACTGCTGCTTGAAGGCGTTTCCAATCCACATTGTTCATGGGGGATGTTTTTACTTTACTTCACCTTTCTGGTCAGTGCGGGTTGGTGAAGGGGGGGGGGGGCCCACAACTGATGCATACATCGATTTCCACTGATGTTGGCCACGGCAGGGAATCGAACTTAGAGTGCACCAGGTTCATAGCGCAATACGCGAACCACTGCGTCACTCTCCTCGGTTGGATGCCCTCTCAGGCATCTTCCCTCCTTCAGCTGTCACTCTGTCACTGCTCTCGACCGTCAGCCGTCCTCCTCCCTCAGATCCACGTCTCTCAGCAGTACGACGTCTCTCAACCCGCCAATGGTCGCTCTCATCCGGACGTCTCCTCTTTTTGTCCCTCGGCGTAATTTGCAAGCATTGCCGTGTAAATGGAACAAACGTTTAATGTTTGTTGGCGATCGTCCTCGCGCTTAGCCAAGTCGCGCTCAAACACACCGGCAGGTCACCGGGAGATGAGAAAGAGCGGTCTCAGCATCACGTGGCTAATAATAGGGCTCCCTGCCGCGGTGTTTGAAAGCTCGCCTTTTGTCCAGAAGGACAAATTTGGCTAGGGCCCCACAATTAATTATGGGGTTTTTTTGTTGTTGCTTTCATCTCCGCTGTCGATACGCGCTGCTGGCCGCCGAGATTTTTTTTCTCCTTAATTGTGATTCAGCGTGACAGACGCGGCACGGGCACATCAATTTATGGGCCGATTCATTTGGACAATTGTAGGGGGGGGGGGGTGTGGGTCTGTGATAAGCACAACAGTATTAGCATAAAGTACTTTACGAAAAAAGATATTTTTTTTTGGCGGAAGGAAAAAAATAATAAGAAATCTCCGATCCTAAAAAATATTCGTAAAGTTTCCAAAGCTCTCCTCAAATATGCACACTTGTGCAAATACCCATTCGAGTTTTCACTATGTGTTAAATAAATACCACACTGTAACTCTACACGTTTATGGCAAGTACATTGTGAGAGTGTTTATCGGTGGTGAGACCAAAATAATAATAAAAATCAATTCCAAATGTATTACAATAATAAACAGGCCTCCCCATGCCATCCGCGTCACTCGTGGGAGTTGTTTCACCATATTTTGTCATGCGGGTGGCGAGGGGTGGGAGGGTGGGAGGGGTGATCACGATAGGTTCAGACATCGTTCGCCACCGATCGAAACTCGGGGTCGCGGGGTTCATAGCGAAGTGCGATTCAACCGCTGCACTCCTGCTCCCCAAGTGAAATGTATACAAAGTAAAAAAAACACACACACACAAGTGGCAGACGTAGAAACATCACAACAAAACTCAAGTGTACCTCTTATCCTGCTGTGAGTGGTGATTTTAAAACTTAATATTTTTTGCAACGAAAAATTCAAACTGTTATCGGCTTAAATTTCGATTTAAAGCTTTCGTGGCTGCAAAGATTCATCCTCTTGGTTCTTTCGGTAAAATCACGTAGAATGGAAATAATAAAATAATAAAAATAAAACATAAAATAATTCTCACGACGTTTCGGCCACAACGCAAGCAGCCGTCCTCAGGTGGAGAACAGGTCTGTCGAGAAGACAGAGTCGCTCCAAGCCTGGGGTGTGTCATTCAGACTCTGTCTTCTCGACAGACCTGTTCTCCACCTGAGGACGGCTGCTTGCGTTGTGGCCGAAACGTCGTGAGAATTATTTTATTATGTTTAATTTTTATTATTTTATTATTTCCATTCTACGTGACTTTACCGAAAGAACCAAGAGGATGTTATCGGCTTCATGCCGTGAGACAAGCAATCCATGTCCCAGAATGCATTCAGAATGCCTGACTTTTTTCTTCCTCCTCGACTCTCAGCTGTGAGCCGCTGCGACCCGAACCCCTGCCAGAACGGCGGGCAGTGCCGCGACCTCGCTGGGGACTTCTCGTGCCAGTGCGAGGCCGAGTGGACGGGCAGCACCTGTGGTTCCAGTGAGGCCTGCATTGCGACACAAACGCGAAGAAAGCACCACACAGCAAGCGATGCACCTCACCGCAAAGGGATGAGTTGGGGCTCTAATCACGGGGCAGTAGCGGAGAAGAGCTCGTTTGTCTGCTCCGTGCCCTGCCCGATCGGTCGCTCACTCTTCCGCTCGTACGCAAACTCAAGACGCTCGCCTCTCTGCCCAATCGATTACCGTCTGACTCACCTGTTTGCCAATTAGGTCACCTGCTTACTGGCCCACATGCTCACACACGTGCCTGAACAATCACTCATTCATTCACCCACCCAACCATGAGTGTGTCGAAGCTAAACTATGTTGGGGAGTCCTTAACACATGTCGTGAGAGACATACACGCAACGTAGTGCAGTCATACGTTTTTTTATACCTAGGGCAAATGTAAGTCATGCATGGCTCTCATCATCAATACCATGGGTCCCTCCTCCTCCTTCTGGTCAGCATGAGCCCTTGCTCGAATCTGTACGACAATACTTATTTATGTAGCTGCTGCTACATAAATAAGTATTGTTGTACAGAAGAAATGCACAGATGAACTCCGATGCAGGTTCTCGCGGTTGCGCCGCATCACTCTCCAACGTGTCATTGGGTCACGTTCTTTTTTCGTCACGGTGGCGGGGCATCATTTGTAAATCAATCCGATCGCAGATTATTTTCGTCGTTACGGCAATCGTCGGTGCCGCGCGGACGAGGCGGTTTCCGTTTGGGCGTTGTTGCGATCGCGACGGCGGGCGGCAATTCGACCTAAACCGCGGCCTTGCCCCGGCCGTCGAATAACGGCGAGTGCCACGGCTTCTCAAAGTGGCGTCCGCAGGCGGCCGGGCGGAGGGGCCGCGGTGGGTGGGCACTTAGTTTAGTCGCGCGCCAAGCTCATGGCGGAGCCTGAGCCCCGGACTGTTAAAACTAAAACTAAACTTTTTTCCGCAGTTAAGTCCCACTGAGCTATATAGCTTATCGTGTGGAATATGTATTGCAGCAAAATACTCTAAGCGCATGTTTCTGAAATTGGAGAGAAAACCCGGAGGAGCCGAAGAAAAATCCACACGATCACGTGGAGGGAGAACACGCAAATTCAAAATATACAGCAGCAGGCGTTAGGGTCGGGATCTAACCCACGACCTCCTGCATACCAGGCGAGGGAGATAACATCTCGCCACCAGCGACATTGCCTCTTAGAGTCAAGGTGTGCGAGGCCTGGTTGCCGCGACTCGGGCGAAACTCGGGACTTTCGCCCTGTCAATCCGTCGCACCTAAAGCGGCACATCTGATCGAGTGAAGTGTGTTCCTTGGCGCGCACCGAACGGCATCAAGAGAATCGCTCCCAAAGTTAAGAAAGCAAATTTACCAAAGCCTCTTGGGGTGCTTCGGTAAAAAAGAAATGGGGATTACGGCAGCTATGCGTAAAATATTGTTTCTATCCTCGCTTATTAAAAACAAGTGAATATAATAATAACAAATGATGATCCCTGCGGCGAGCTGTTTCCCAGCACTCTGTGTACGAATCGCGCTAAAATGTTTACGCGCGTCAGAAGACACGCTGCAAGCAGACGCTAATTCCAGCGGCGCGAACGCTATCGGTTCTTGGCATGGGCGGCCGTATTGATGCACGTTTTTATGTTTACGTTCTTGCGCTGTACGAGATTTCCACCTTCTCAATCCCTGTTATCTCTCCACTTTGCAGGTGCGAACGACTGCGCTTCCCGCCCGTGGTACGTGCAGTTCCTGCGCTACACATGACGCAGAGTCTGAAGTTTATCGGCTTTGTAATAATCACAGTTTCGAATAGTCGTGTTTTCATTCTTTTCACCCCCCCCTCCCGCCGCCCCCATCTCGTGACGTGCGCAGCCACAACGGCGGCACGTGCGTCGATGGAGGGGACTGGTACCTCTGCGAGTGCGCTCCGGGATTCTCGGGGCCCGACTGCCGCATAAGTAAGACGTTGCACCCCACCCCCCCCCCCCCCTTATCACCCCCCCCCACCCCCTTTTGCTCCCCCTGATAGCTCTGCGACGATTCGGTAAAGTCACGTAGATGGATTCGAAGAAAATAACAAAAAAACTACGACGTTTCGACCGCAACACAAGCGATCGTCCTGATGACCTGGTCATTAGTATACACTACGACACTATCCACTACACTACTATACGCTACACTGCTGTACGCTACACTGCTATATGCTACACTGCTATACGCTACACTGCTATACGCTACACTGCTATACGCTACACTACTACTACACGCTACACTACTACACGCTACACTACTATACGCTACACTGCTATACGCTACACTACTATACGCTACACTACTATATGCTACACTACTATACGCTACACTACTATACATAGACTCTAGCTCTCCCAGGCATTCCCAGGCAAGCCGAGAGACACAGTCCCGCCAGCGTGTCCTGGGCTCGCAGGGAGAGGGATGATCTCAGACGGGCTGGACCTTGGCAATGGACACTCAACATATGTACATTAACAAAACCCTGATCGAAGTTATGGATTTTATTCTAGAAGCGTATACATTTCTCATTGATGCTCATATTAGTTCTGGTTGATGCTGTTAAACTGTCATATTACATATATTTATATTGTCAAACTGTCAGATTATTTTACGACGTTCATAAGTTTGAGTAAGATCGCCTAAAATTGAGCGACGGTTGAGAGATTTGTCCATTTGTCGATTTAAAGCTTTCGTGACTGCAGGGATTCATCTTCTTGGTTCTTTCGGTAAAGTCACGTAGAAGGACGGCTGCTTGCGTTGTGGCCGAAACGTCGTGAGAATTATTTTATTATGTTTAATTTTATTATTTTATTACTTCCCTTCTACGTGACTTTACGGAAAGAACCAAGAAGATTTGTCCATATTGTAATTGTGTCAAATTCACAGCCACTTCGCCATTGGGCCCTCCTCGTTCATGAGAAGGGGCGGTTGAATTCGACTCTGTGTTGTGGCCGGCACCATTCGCGGTGACCATCCCATCTTACTGTCACCCTTGACCTGGGTTGAACTTCACTGCTCCATTGCAGTCCTGCCAAAAGTGCATCGTTCCCACTGCGTTTCCCTACACCAGTTTGCCCGGTTGTTTTTTTGTTGTGCCAAGAAACTATACGAGAAGTTAATTCCCAACAGCGGCGGCAACAGCAGCAGCAGCAGCAACGTTTAGGCTCCGCGAAGCCTACCTCGGCATCAATCATCACCAGGATTTAGCACCCCCTGCTGCAGTGCAGCCAAATTTACTGTGGAACTCCGGGCCCGACTGCCAAGGGGTCAGTCTCAGGTCCTGTTTCGCTTCGGGTTTCTCGTCAGGTTACGGGAATTGTACAGCCCGAGTTGGCTCGCTGTGCTCTTGCCAGAGGCACCTCCGATCATTAAAAAAACGCCACACCTCTCCACGTGCAATACAAAAATACAAAACTCAATACAGAGAAACTTAACAGTGTGCCAGCTTTTTTAGTTTTTACGATATTATAATCTTGGTGGATTGTGGGTAACATATACTGTAATCGTAAATGAACGCACACAATTCTGGTTTGTTCCCTTAAAATAAAATAAAAAAACACGTAGATCCACTCAGGATATTTTCTGACAACTATGTAAAACGGCATAATAGAGTAGGTGACACGTGGCTATTAGCAGCCACTACCATAGCTAGAGGTATCCTCAACCGCGTGTAGAAATACAATCGATGTCGCTAACCCAGACAGGCCTGGCCGACATTAAGCATTGGGCCCGTTGGCCAAAGGGGGCTCTCCAGACAAATGTTTTGCAGCTGCTTCTTTGAGTTACCAAAGCAAGTTGTCGAAATATTCGGCTCGAAAGTTTGCCTGGCCGCCGCTCCACACTGTGTCGTGAGTAGCATTGTGGGACCAAAGTAGCGTAGTGCGGTTGGCATTGGCCCTGAGGCAAGGAATAGAATGGAATCGCTGCACGCCCCCCCCCCCCCCGTCCAATTCCACCCCCCGTCTTTGCTGGCTTCTAGGCCCCGGCCGCCCCTGGGGGCCCCAATGCAGTTGGGTGCGACGGTGGCTAGGAGATGTTAACTACCTCGCCTGGTATACAGGAGGTCGTGAATTCGATCCTGACCCTGACGCCTGCTGTATATTTGGAGTTTGTGTGTCTCTCGCTCTCATCATCATCACGGTGGCTAGATGTTGACTACCTCGCCTGGTATACAGGAGGTCGTGGATTCGATCCTGACCCTGACGCCTGCTGTATATTTGGAGTTTGTGTGTCTCTCGCTCTCATCATCATCACGGTGGCTAGGAGATGTTGACTACCTCGCCTGGTATACAGGAGGTCGTGGGTTCGATCCTGACCCTGACGCCTGCTGTATATTTGGAGTTTGTGTGTCTCTCGCTCTCATCATCATCACGGTGGCTAGGAGATGTTGACTACCTCGCCTGGTATACAGGAGGTCGTGGATTCGATCCTGACCCTGACGCCTGCTGTATGTTTGGAGTTTGCGTGTATCTCGCTCTCATCATCATCACGGTGGCTAGGAGATGTTAACTACCTCGCCTGGTATACAGGAGGTCGTGGATTCGATCCTGACCCTGACGCCTGCTGTATATTTGGAGTTTGAGTGTCTCTCGCTCCCATCATCATCACGGTGGCTAGGAGATGTTAACTACCTCGCCTGGTATACAGGAGGTCGTGGATTCGATCCTGACCCTGACGCCTGCTGTATATTTGGAGTTTGTGTGTCTCTCGCTCTCATCATCATCACGGTGGCTAGGAGATGTTAACTACCTCGCCTGGTATACAGGAGGTCGTGGATTCGATCCTGACCCTGACGCCTGCTGTATATTTAGAGTTTGTGTGTCTCTCGCTCTCATCATCATCACGGTGGCTAGGAGATGTTGACTACCTCGCCTGATATACAGGAGGTCGTGGATTCGATCCCGACCCTGACGCCTGCTGTATATTTTGAGTTTGTGTGTCTCTCGCTCTCATCATCATCACGGTGGCTAGGAGATGTTAACTACCTCGCCTGGTATACAGGAGGTCGTGGATTCGATCCTGACCCTGACGCCTGCTGTATATTTGGAGTTTGTGTGTCTCTCGCTCTCATCATCATCACGGTGGCTAGGAGATGTTGACTACCTCGCCTGGTATACAGGAGGTCGTGGATTCGATCCTGACCCTGACGCCTGCTGTATATTTGGAGTTTGTGTGTCTCTCGCTCTCATCATCATCACGGTGGCTAGGAGATGTTGACTACCTCGCCTGGTATACAGGAGGTCGTGGATTCGATCCTGACCCTGACGCCTGCTGTATGTTTGGAGTTTGCGTGTCTCTCGCTCTCATCATCATCACGGTGGCTAGGAGATGTTAACTACCTCGCCTGGTATACAGGAGGTCGTGGATTCGATCCTGACCCTGACGCCTGCTGTATATTTGGAGTTTGAGTGTCTCTCGCTCCCATCATCATCACGGTGGCTAGGAGATGTTAACTACCTCGCCTGGTATACAGGAGGTCGTGGATTCGATCCTGACCCTGACGCCTGCTGTATATTTGGAGTTTGTGTGTCTCTCGCTCTCATCATCATCACGGTGGCTAGGAGATGTTAACTACCTCGCCTGGTATACAGGAGGTCGTGGATTCGATCCTGACCCTGACGCCTGCTGTATATTTGGAGTTTGTGTGTCTCTCGCTCTCATCATCATCACGGTGGCTAGGAGATGTTGACTACCTCGCCTGGTATACAGGAGGTCGTGGATTCGATCCTGACCCTGATGCCTGCTGTATATTTGGAGTTTGTGTGTCTCTCGCTCTCATCATCACGGTGGCTAGGAGATGTTAACTACCTCGCGTGATATACAGGAGGTCGTGGATTCGATCCTGACCCTGACGCCTGCTGTATATTTGGAGTTTGTGTGGCTCTCGCTCTCATCATCATCACGGTGGCTAGGAGATGTTGACTACCTCGCCTGGTATACAGGAGGTCGTGGATTCGATCCTGACGCCTGCTGTATATGTGGAGTTTGTGTGTCTCTCGCTTTCTCATCATCATCACGGTGGCTAGGAGATGTTGACTACCTCGCCTGGTTTACAGGAGGTCGTGGATTCGATCCTGACCCTGACGCCTGCTGTATATGTGGAGTTTGCATGTATCTCTCTCTCTCTCTCCCCCTGTGGTCGTGTGGATCTTTATCCGGGTCCTCTGGTTTTTCCCTCCGCATTTAGAATCAACATGCGTTTAGAATATTTGGCTGCAATATATTTGCATGCGATCAGCAGCTTTGTTGAGCTATCATTTGTGGCCAGGTCGCTTCTGGTTAAAGAGCTACGTAGCTCAGCGGGCCTTTACCCGGTAAAATAAAAAAATAAAAAAGTTTAAAAAATTCTAGATTTGAAGCTTTCGTGACTGCAAGGATTCATACTCTTAGTTCTTTCGGTAAAGTCACGTAGGTAAAAAATGAAATTAAAATTAATAAAAATTAATAAAATTTTGATTTTATTGTTTTTACTTGTTATTCATTTTAATTTTTTTTTTGTGATTTATTTGTTTTTACTTTTTTATTAAAGTTTTAAAACGTTTAGTTTGTGTGGCCTGCGCACACTCGGTAGCCACGCGACTCCGTGGGACCCGTTGCGGCTCTCCTGCAGATCCGACTGCAACTCTTTGTCGGAGAGGACAAGAGGAGCGGGAAGCTCAGAGGCAGTGCACCACCGCTCGACTGCTCAAGTTGCCTTGTTGTTGTTGTTTGACTTGCATCCCACTGGGATTTTTGCACAGCGTTGGTGTACGGTGCTTTTTTTCTGGAAGACTTTGCAGTTTTTTCCTGGATTTTTCTGTTTGCTCATAATCACTTTAAGATGTTTTTCTTGTTCATTTTTTTGTTTTTTGTTTGTTGCGGTTGCACCCGATTCAAGAGCCGAATGGCTCACAGGGCTATACCAAACCCCAGACCACCCAGCTGCTGCTCCTACTTGTGTAACACTTCCATCCAATGGGAACCCTCTCCCCCATCCCAACATGTAAACTAGGAAAATAAACAGCGCTCTTTCCAGCACGCAAAAAGGTTCACTTGCGTCCAGCAAAATCTGAGCACGAGAGGAATACTCCAATCTATCAACGACCCCTCGAGTGACTTGTTACAAAAACGTCCGCGTTATTTTTGTTCCCATTATAACGGTCAGCTGTTGCCGTTATAATGAACGAATGAATGCTCTTTCCTGCGGTCTGAAATAGCTCGAAAGAGCCGAGGTTTTTAGCGTGGCACTTATGCGAAAAGGGCGCCTCAACATTACAGATCGCGTGCTGTTTGTAATCAATAGCAATGCCCTTTATTTATCCGGCAAAGACTGTCCGAGTCTTTTCTGGGGGGGCGGAATGCCGTGTAAATGCTACCATTGTTGTGCAGTGTAGCACGCCAATGATAACACACTCAAGCGCACGGTCACTCCGCGATACATTTATACACACGGTGACACATTGAATACACGCGACAACACACTCCCCGTCTGCCGCGTTTGCCGCTGTGCCCCCGAGTGCAGACGTGAACGAGTGTCAGTCGTCCCCGTGCCCGCGCGGGGCCTCCTGCGTCGATGAGATTAATGGCTACAGGTGCGTGTGTCCTCCGGGACAGCCCGACTCCAGCTGCCACCGACCCGGTGAGTGAGATCATCCGACCCCCCCCCCGACCCTAACGCCCGGCGAGCGAACAACCTAACAGAAAAAAAAACACACGAACAAATCCACGCGCGCGCATGTGCGCCGTACTCAGCCAGGCGCGTGCACACATGCACAGGGACGAAGGGTGCCCCTGTAGCCTGTGGAGTGCACAGGCGGTGCAACTGCACCGGTGCCCACGCGCCGGATGGGGGCCCAGGCGCCAGGCTGCGAACGGTGGGGAAATTGGACATGCCGACCCGCAGGCCTGCAGCGCCAAACGGCCGGCAACAAACGGCAGGCGCATTCCGGGTGATTGGGTTCTAAAATCCACTTGTAAATAAATCCATTCAAAGTCCGTGTTTCTGATGAACGTAGCGAGTTGTTTTGTTCATCAATAATAATTGTTATTATTATAAATTCACGCAGCCATGGAGTTGCCCAGGCCATGCTGGCCTCACGGGGAGTTCCGCGCGCATGGCTCCACGTGGTCCGATGGGTGCAACACCTGCCAGTGCGTCGACGGTTGGGGCAACTGCACCAAGGTTCGAACGCTCCTCGCCCAACATCATCATCATCCATTTATACATCACCATCATCATTATCATGAGCCATGACCAATCCACTGTGGGATGAAGGCCTCTCCAAGCCGTCACCATCTGTGGCAAGTGACTTGTATCCACCAGTCACAGTGAGTGGTATCCTGGATGTGATGTGCCAGATAAATATATATTCTGATTCAGATTTTCTTGGTGATCGGCTCAGATAGACACGGACGTCTGAACCAGAATGGAAGAGTAGGCCAAATATTGACCGCCTAGGGGCGCTCTCTTTAGGGCAATTTAGTGGAGGCCCTTCTGCCATCAGTGGGGTGAGTGAGTAATTTCAGGGCTGCGCCTTAACCATCACCTATCCCACAGCCACGCGCCCCTTTGCCTTGATGGTGTCTGAAGACCCACAGTGATCGAGAGTGCAAAGTCTGCTTATTCAGATGAGAAAAATAAAAATACGCGATGGTGTTTTGTTTGGGTCAGAAGTTAATGTTAACATTGGATCGGGTGACGTGCCCCGCTCGCTCACCGGCTCACTCTCACAGCGAGACCGATGATGTGGGACATTTATTAAACCGCGTATTCCAGTTCCTCGATATGCTTTCTTTGGATGTTGATGCTCATTGGACTGTTTCCACTTGACTTGGTGTGAATTATAATCAGAGTTGGGTGGATGTTAATAAAGGATTCGGTGAACCGGTAGAAAATTAAACGTTAGGATCGCGCAGAGAGGGAAACACTTTACTGAATGTTAGAAGCGTAGGAAGACTAAGCTTTGGGCAATTCAAATGCACGGCTTTAAAGCATCAACCGCGCAACCACAAAGCATCGCCCACAGCACAAAATAGAATCAACCGCACAACTCCACACAATCAACCACACAGCATCGACCACCACAGGATCAACAACAAAACCGCACAGAATACACCACACCACCACAAAGAATCAACCACGTAACTCCGCACCATCATCTACATGACCCCACATCATGAACCACATGACCCCGGCAGATTGAACCATCAAAACCGCCATGGTCCCACCACTAACCGCACCCCCCGCACCTCCAATTAGCACGGTTGCCTATGTAAGGTGCGAAAGAAGTTCAACACTCACACCTCCCACCCCCCTCCCCGCCCCTCGCCCAGGTGTGGTGCGGCAGGAGCTCGTGCTCTCTCTTCGCGGTGGCCGACCCCGGCTGCCCTCCGGCCCACACGTGTCGGCCGGCGCGGCGCCGGCACGGCTGCCTGGTGGGGCCGTGCCGAGAGGGGGCCGGCGAGTGCGTGGGGCCGCCGCTGCCGCCGCCGCCCGCCGACTGCCGCCCCGTCCCGCCGCCGGATGGGGTGGCCGAGCGGCCGGGTTGCGTGCGACTCACGCTGCGTGTGGATCGCACCCGACTGCCTGCGGTAACGTGCGGCGGGAACTTTCATCTTCTTGGTTCTTTCGGTAAAGTCACGTAGAAGGGAAGTAATAAAATAATAAAAATAAAACATAATAAATTTAAAATAATTCTCACGACGTTTCGGCTACAACGCAAGCAGCCGTCTTCAGGTGAAACGTCGTGAGAATTATTTTATTTTATTATGTTTTATTTTTATTATTTTATTACTTCCCTTCTACGTGACTTTACCGAAAGAACCAAGAAGATGAATCCCTGCAGTCACGAAAGCTTTAAATCGAAAGGGAACTTTCATGTTTCTTTTGTTTAATGGCGTGATCGAACCACTGCTGTTTCTTGATTGGCCGCCGCCGCTTTTATTCTGGTGGTGGTGGTCGTGGTTATTTTATTTTTTGTTCTTCACGGTTGCTGAGTACAGGGCCCAAGGATTTCATGTGCCGAGCGGCCAGCAAAAAAAAAAGCATTCATAAATGTTGCATTCGTCTTCGTACTGATCTCTAATGGCTATTAACCGAGCAGCAGCGATACATCGATGTCTACATTGTGATTTTAGCAGCTGGTTTCGGAGGCCATGGAGTGTGATTCGCTCGTGCCACTTCATTAATTTTACCTGTACGTGTCAAACCTTGAACTGCATTCCACAAACCCAATAGTTTCTAAAGCTGCACATAATCACCTTCAAAATGACACCCCCCTCTCTGTATGGTTGGGATGATTTCATTCCTAAATGATTATTGGCAAGGGAGGATCTCACCAAGGAGACGCCAACTCAACGGGTAGTAATTTCATCTCCGGACGTATGGACGGCCAATTTTGAAAAGTTTTAATTCCTGCCAGGACACGCGCCAGTTTCCGAGGGTTAAGGGGACTGGCAGGAATTAAAGGTCTCGTGATTGGCTCTCGAAACATCCGGAGATGAAATTACGACAGCTGGAAAAGCACCTCCTTTGGTGAGATCTGTCATCACCTACGGACGTTTCGACGTTTAAAGTCTAAATCGAAACCGCCGTCTCGAATGCTTTTCTTTCGATCGGGATGACCACCTCGCCTAATGCGTGGTACTGCCCGTCAGAGGTCGCAACCGGGTACCCGATACCCGTACCCTACCCGATACCCGGCTACCCGTACCCGGCCAGGTACGGGTACGGGTACCTGTTTGCGACCCTGGTGCGGCCGGGTACGGGTACGGGTAGGCCGTGAGTCACTGGTGAGTATCCGTTTGTCACTCATTTCGGGTAGGGTACAGGTAGCGTACGGGTACCCATACCCGGCCGGGTACGGGTACCCATTTGCGACCCTGGTGCGGCCGGGTACGGGTACGGGTATGGAATCAAAACCCGTTTGCGACCTCTGGTGCCCGTAAATCGCCAACGTCAAAACCGAACGCGATTCTCTCGCAGGGCACAACGGTGGAGCACATCTGTGCGGACCTTAGGCTCCTGCCGGGCGTGCGGGACTTCTCCTGGGTCTACTCGCTCTTCGTGCTCTGCGAGCGACCCGAAGGGCGCGAAGACGCGGTCGTCGTCGCGATAGTAAGCCAGGCGGGGGGCTCCGCGCACGCACGCGCCCGACGCTGCCCCCCAAACCCCGGGGTCTCACCGAGAGGCTTGCCCCACCTGTCCTGGATTTCCCAGGGTCGTCCTCTCGATGAAGAGGCAGTTCTGTGGGCACCTGTGAATGCTTCCCGAGATGTGAAATGTCTCCGCTTTCACCAGTTGCGTTATAATAGGCGACTCTACTACTACTGCTACTACTCTTACTGTGTTTTATTTTATTTTGCCAGGTAAGGTCCACTGGGCTACAGAGCTCTTTTTCAAAAGTGACCTGGCCACAAATGATAGCTCAACGAAGTGGCTTATCATGTTTAAAGTTATAGCAGCCAAATACTCTAAACACACGTTTCTAAATGTGTGTGTTCTATAACACACACAGATACATACAAACATACACATACAGATAGATAGATACACACACAGATACACACAGATAGAGATAGATACACAAGACAGAGATTCCCCGCGTAGTTTTTTGAGAGACTGTTCGGATAAGTGATGTTCCGGAGCACCCACCGATGACGTCTGCGTTCGCAAGTCCACGGCAGCAGCGTTCCTTTCTAAAACAAAGGTGCCTGACTACGGCGATGAATAAATGAAAACAAATTGTCGCGTTAAAGTCACGTAGAAGGGAAAGAACCAAGAAGATGAATCCCTGCAGTCACGAAAGCTTTAAATCGAAAAAATTAACCCGTAAAAACAAAGTTTTTCACTATAAATCCTTTATATGCGTGGCGGCTAGAGTCCTCTCGTCCTCTGGCTTGAGATGGCTGCCACCTATGGGTCAGATGATTGTCTGCCACCATTAAGCAATTGGTAATTAAATATAATTTATTTTTTCCTAAAAAGTGAAAAATTTTGGGGAAAAAATTTCACGAAAATTAATTGTCACGCACAACGAGTCTGTGCGCAAAATGTCAGCTCGATTGGATCACGGGAAGTGGGTTAAAAAACGACCCAAAGATTTGCACGGTCGTAAGCGCGCAAGTGAACTTAATATAAACGATTTAAAAAATTGTCGCGTTCTTCCAGTCCACAGACCTCTCGGCAGGGTCCCAGGGGGACGCGGCGGTGTGGGGAGCGGCCACGTTGCTCGCCGAAGCCGCGCGGCGGAGGAGTGGGGAGCGCATGGCAGCCGTCTCGGACGTGGAGCTCAACTCCAAACGGCCAGGTCAGGGGTCGCTCCCTCCCCCCCCCCCGCCCCCCTTCACTACCCCGTCACGTCATCGGCAAATCGATCCCGCAGGCAGCATTGGAGCTGCGGTGGTGGCGGTGATGGTCGGGAGCGGTATCGTAGTGGTTAGTGCGCCGCGCCACGAACCCGGCGACCCGAGTTCGATTTCCGCTCATGGGCAATATCAGTGACGATTATCTGAACTAACCCTGGGCTTCCTCTAGGTCGACTCAGCCACAAAAAAATTACCTGGTACGGTATGTAATCATCGCCACTAGGGAGAAAAAGGTGGCCGGGCGTGGTGCTGGCCACCCACCCCCTCGTGTGCCATGCCGGCCTTCATAGGTGCTCACTAACAGTGCTTGCCCCAACAGTCAGCTAAACACTATATGGGGGATCTTTGTCTTTGGTGGCCACTGAGATATTGGAGCTTTGAGAAGCTGTCATCAGCTGACAGAGGCTGCCACCATCTCTGGCAAGACAGCCCCTGAGCCAAGGCGACTTGTCGGTACCACTTTGCGTGGCAAATGCTAATAGTATACACCATACGCATGAAGACTAGCATCCACACTATCCATATTATATAAGTTACTTCCTATTTTTTTTCATCTTCCATGGACATAGCTACCACGGTGACCTTGCTATCTAACATATCTAACCTATTTGTGATACAATAAAATTATAATCGGAAACCATGGTGAGCATTTGCTACCCTGTGCGGTACCGATAAAACCTTTTTTCAGTCAATGGCTCCGAGGATCAAGATATTTCAGCTGAATTGACTGTCACTGTGGCAGCGTGAGTGAGCGAGAACCCCGGATTGGCTTATCGGCCACGTTTAGTGGATTGCTGAATCCCCTGGGTTTTGATCTTCCACGAAGCTCGTGGGGCACCCTAACCCGCATCCGCTGCACAAACCATGGAAGACGCAGATACCTGATGCACAAATGACAAATTAAAAACTCTCCAGTAGCGTGCAACAGCGGTCATCCAGAACAGACCGTAACAACATATGACGACGCAACGCCCCGATTCACGAATACGAAGGAGACATCACGGGCGATACACTCCGCCGGTGCTGATGCGGTTATCTGGACTTGACTACCTGAAGGTAAAATTGTGGTCGTCGTCTCGGCATCTGCATCATCAGCCGTACGACAGAAGAAGTGGATCGCTGCCTCCGGCGCTATCGCGTAGAGGTCTCCATAGGGCAATCAGCTTGGACGTGAGCGCTATAATCCCAGTGGCAGACAAACCGTGAGCGTTGGCACGATGCCTGGGGGGCACAAAAAAAACGTTGATTTGCCTTGCGTCCTCTTACAGTGGAAGTGACTTAAAAAATGTATGAGATGGCCAAACAGTTTGAGAGGCAGATCACAATCATGGGAATGTTAATTATGCTCACGTTGTCACTTATGCTTATGTAATGACATTTACTTATCCAGGAAAGCCTCACTAAGTCTCAAGAATGATTTTATAAGGTCCTGCATTGGGGATGTTTGGCCTATTCCATTCATAACTGTTTGGTTTTATTTGAGACGAAACAATTTTTTTTTATTTTGCCCGGTAAGGCTCACTAAGCTATCTAGCTATTTTTCAAAAGCGACCTGGCCACAAATGACGGCTCAACGAAGTGGCTTATCGCGTGCAAATTTATAGTAGCCAAATTCTCTAAACGTATATGTCGGTTCTAAACGTGGAGGGGAAACCCGATTGTCGTGTGTTTTCGGTAGAAGGCCCACAATGCATACGAGGGATTAACTTAAGAGATCCTGAAGGACAGGGACATGAAGCCAATTGCTGTAGTGTCAGGTCATGTCCCCCTCGCTCCCCACTGGACTGGGAGTAGCAACATAAACCTGAGCAATCCACCGAGCGTTGCATTCAAAGCGCTGGATCACAGACGCGTACCAAAGCACCCACGTAGACTAATTTATGGGCAGATCTTTGAGTCAACTTACAGACAGAAGAACAGTCGATCAGGTAGACTGATGGATAGATGGATGGAATTATGCCGACGAATGGATGAACGGATTCACACACAGAAGCACGTGCAGACTGTAGCGTGAACGTACGCACGGGTAGACTAACAGATGGACAGACACGTTGACTAAGGGATGGACAAGATGGATGGAATTATACACTCAAGGTCACATGCACAGCCTAATGGACAGACGAATGAACTTAAAAACAGAAGCACGGACAAATTGAAGCATGACCGTGCGAAAGGATTTTACCGAAAAAACCTAAGAATATGAATCCTTGCAGTCACGAAAGCTTCAAATCTAGAATTAAAGGATAGACAGAACGATATGTTCGGACTGACATGTTAACCCCCTCCCTCCCCGCGGCGCCCTTGTGCATCAGACCACGTGTTGTTGGCCGTCGTGGCTTCGCTGCTGCTCGTGCTGCTCGCCACAGCCGTGCTGCTCTGCGTCTGGTGCCTCCGTCGGCGGCAGCGGCGGCGACAGCGGCGGCGGCGGAAGAGGAAGGACGCCGACGACGAAGACGACGAGGAGCCGGTGGCAGCGCCGGACGGAGCAGGCCGCCGAAACAACGCCGGCGCTCCGGTCGCCGGCGGGCAGCCGCCGGCCAAGATCCAGAACCCCATCGTGCGGCACCCGCACGCGGCCCCGCCCGCACGCGCCGTCAGCAACAAGGAGCTGGAGATGAAGCTCAAGTGCAGGACTCACAACTCCGAGCTGGAGCAGGTGGAGATCGACAAGCTGCGGAGGCCGGCGGGCAAAGCGGACGCGGAGAGCGGCGACGGGAACGGCCTCGCCGCGGCCCAAGCGGAGTGCGAGCCGCTGAGGCCCAACGTGCAGCCGTGCGGCCAACCCCAGATCCTGCAGGTGACCGTATGATGCCCAGCGGGCGGGCGGACTCGATGAAAGCTAAAACTCACTGAAAACAATTAAAACGCTGTTGTGATCTTTCCCTCCGCGGTTATTATTTTTTTTTAAACGTGCAGCAGTATTTTTTTTTACGTTGGTCGTTTGTTGTTTTTGTTGCGAGGGATTATAAAATCATGCCAAAAGTTGTTGCGCGCTCGAGTGTAGGGGAATTCAAATCGAGGGATTGTTATCGAAAGTGGTTGTATCGCGATGCAGGGACAACGCCTGTGAGCTGAAGCGAGCGTGGCCGGGGCTTGGAGATGTGCGGAGTTCACCGCAGGGCACAGCGCAGCGAGCGTGCCCGAATTTTGAAACGAGAAAAAAACATAATCAATCAGCTGTGCAGTTTAGTTTTTTTTTATATATATTCAGCAGAAGCGGTTTGAATAAAATTCACACTTTGCACTTTTTGCTCTCTCATGGTGTAAGCGGACAAGCACCTACAGGCCGTGCTACTTGCCCGGTCGCGTTTTCAGGGCTTTCACTCCTTGTCCACAAAGCCTCGCGCGCCCTCGCGGCCAGCGTCCCGTGGGAGACGGAGGTGCTGTGCCTTGTTTGCGCGGTCGTTATAAAACAGGCGGGAGTTTTCCCTCGGCAGTAACAAGAACACATACTCTCTGATTCTTTCGGTAAAGTCACGTAGATAGAAAAAATCACGAAAGAACACGACGTTTCGGTCGCAACACAAGCGTCCGTCATCAGGACGCTTGTGTTGCCGAGGGAAAACTCCGTCATCCGGACGCTTGTGTTGCCGAGGGAAAACTCCGTCATCCGGACACTTGTGTTGCGACCGAAACGTCGTGTTCTTTTATTATTTTTTCTTCTACCTACGTGACTTTACCGAAAGAACCAGAGAGTATAGATTCCTGCAGTCACGAAAGCTTCAAATCAACAAGAACACACCCCGAGCGTCGACAAATTATTGTGTGCAATTGCATTGCCAGTGGTTGCACAGCTGCGAATAAAAAAAAATTACCCATTCGCCAATAACAATTTGGCCTTGAAAGTCAAAATATGTAATGGGCAATACTTCGGGAAATGGTCCTTTTTCATAGCACATAGAGGCCAGAGAGTTCGAGTCAGGCCCTCTCCCCAATTTATCTGCTGGCCTCTCTGTTAACGTGATGGGCCATTCCCCCGAAACGTCGGCCTTTGTTTAAGCGCAAATTCGGCCTCACAGCCGACCCGAACACGGGGTCCGCATCGCTCTTCCACGCTCCTCACCGCCCCCTCCCCCCTGCCCCCACCGTAACGTCGCGACTGCACCGGAGAGCCACTTGCCTCAGAGTGAGTGGCTCCCTTTCGCAAAGTGAGCCACTCGACCCGGTGACAGCTGGCCGTGCGGCCCAGGTCGCAGCTCGCAGTAAGGCCACTGTGGGTCCCGAGGCTGAGCCAACTTGTGCAGTTCGCGAAGCAGTCGGGCTCAGCGTTGAGAGTTCATGGGAACACGGCCAGAGAAGGAGGGAGAGAGAGAGAGCGAGAGAGTGGTTTTGGAGTGAAATATGGGAATTGTGACTCGTGAAGGGCTTGCAGTACTGCTGTGCTCCTTAAACGTTGATGCAGTGAGGCGTCACAATCTGAACACCGGACCGTTCCCCGTCAGGTGACCTCCAGCTGATATTGTCTTAAAGACAAAAAAGCGGAGGATTCACATCTCGACGGCGCGGCCGAAATGCAAGCACATCGTGGCGCCCAAACGATTTGGCCCTGCTGTTCGTGCAGAGACGAAGGGCGCTGCGGCAAAAGTCTGGCGCCAACGATACGCAAATCTTCTATATCAATGAGTGGCCTTCCCCTGGACACTGCTGTGGCTTCTGCCTACGAGCCGAGTACATGCGATAGTGGAGCACGTCCTCCGGTTAGCCCAGGGGTCGGCAACCAAAATAACAAGAACAGGCATTTATTTAGAAATCGGTAAAAAAAAAACTCTTATGTCAAGAGCCACGTGAATAACGTCACGAAGCAGTGCTTCAAGAGACGCCTGATGCTCCGGAGCCTCAGATTGCCCACCCCTTGGGTGAGTCCAACACCTCTGCTCATTTGTTGCCACGTCAGCCTTCCCTTCGCTGGCTACGCTGCCGACTTGGCAGCTAGTGCCCCGCGGAAAACTCAAAAGGGCCTTTGGAAACCGCAGGCAGACTTTAACGTTCAAGAGCTCATTCATCTTAGGAGCTTGTGGAACTTTGGCAACAGTCACGTGCGCACACTGGATTTGGCGTTAAGATCCGATATTTAAACAATCGTTATTGTATTGATTTTTTTGTTATTGTTATTGTGTATGGCTGGGTGGTGTTGTGAATAGTGTTTGACGCACAATCGGAAGGTCGCAAGTTCACATCCTGGATTGACCGAGCTAATCATCCCCTCCCCCCCAGGAGTATATAAAATTAGTACCACTAGGTGGGAAGTCGATGGTGATTGTCCCAGACAGAAAGGCTGGCTCTTGCCATAGACATGTAGAATTTCCACGACTTGGCTCAAAGCCACCAATGGAGATGAGCATTGCCCAGTTCACGCTTGAGCCGGGGAGACGCTTTCAATCGACCTTCTGCACCGTCATTATGAACATTAAGGTTCGTTTTTTTTTTAATAACTCTTAACGTCAATAAAGATCCGGGCACATCCGTGGAATTTCCATTTTCCCATTTTAACGGACCGTCACCCGATTGCCAAGTGCTTCTGAGCAATAAAACGCTGCTACGAGAGCACTGAGGGCAGTGCTCGCTGGAAATTCTTCATCAACACACACTTTGCATTAAATTCTGTTTTCATTGGCCCGTGCAGAGCCCCAACACTCTATGCCAATGCTGGATCCAGCTGCCCGTGGCAAATGCGTTGCCAATAACAATTCCTGATAGCACGTAAATGAACGTTACCCCTCGGCTCCCCCCCCCCCCCCCCGCGAATATTCACATCCGAATATTTTTGCCCCTCTTGTTTTTTTAGTTCCAAAGTAATTACTCTCTTTCTCTCTGTGCCTATGCATCTATACCCGTGCATTTTCAACTACAGCCTTAAATTTAACACCACTTTCCACCCTTAACTCGTGAAACAGTTTGCTTTCAGTCGCTGTACTTTTTCACACCATTCGTTTGGTCCCGACTTTGTCCTCGACAAAGTAGTGCCAAACCTTAAAATAGTGCCTAACCCGAAAGTAGTGCCTAACCATAACACATCGCTACCCCCCCCCCCCCCCCCCCCCGGGAGGAATTGAGATTTGTTTACTCTGGAAACACTTTCGCGAAAACTGCCCCCCCCCCCACCAATGGTGTCGTTGCTTCTCCACGCGAGCGATGATTTTCCATGGAGAGCGGAGACGTGGACGCAAACCACCGAGTGGCACCTCCACGAGAAGGCCTCTCGCGTTGGCACAGCGCGCGCCTCCTCTTCCTCCTCCTCCACGGCCGTTGCTCGCGCTTTCGTTTTTGCTGCCGCTGTAAACGTGCAACATTTCGTGGGTTGGTTCGATCGTCGTTGGCACCGATCGCTTCCGGCGAACGGAGGAGCAGGAAAAGAGAGGCGGAGAAAATTAGAAACGTTTTGGTGAGTTCCCCGCTGCAGGTTTTTTTTTCGATCGTGCCGCAGAGCTCTCCGATGCGATTTTGTCTGTTGCGCGTGATTTCCACGCGCCTGGGAGCTTCTTCAGTTCCTCGAAGAGGCTCCCAGCGCGTTAAGCGAAACGTCGGATGTCGTACCGAGCAGCGAGCGGCACAAGCCGCGAAAAGAACCGACACGCAGTTGCACCGCGCGCGGTTCGGCACCAGTGTCCGACGTTTCACTTCGCGCACCGCTGGCAGCTTCTCCAGCCCCTTCGGTTTCCGAAGCAGTGCTCAGCGCGCAGCACGAAACGTCGGACGTCATGCCCAAAAGCAAAAAAAACACGCGATACAACCCAAAAAAGAACACATCGGAGAGTTCGTGAAAATCTTTCCGACGCGCAGAGCGACACGGGAGCCACTACGGACTTTGCTCCCTCGGATCCGTGCGGTGCGCGGAATTTTAAACATTCGCTGCAGATCAATACCGCCGGCTTCCGACGGAGATCACACACACGGCTCTGGTCGTAGCTCACCTTGTAACGGATTGCGAAATTTCTGATACTTTGCGATACACGTGCATTCCTATTTTATAAAAAGACTTATTTATTGCAGGTGTACATTGCTTTAGTGGAATGTGGAGTTGGCCTTTTTTTGTCACTGTACAGGTCTTTTTTGTAATACCACGATGATTATAGCCGTGAAACACGCGTTGTCTCAATAAAGATTTTGTTTTTCTTATCATCAACCGCGAGTCGTTCATCGCTCATTTACGAACTCCGCTTGGGGAAATAATTCCACTCTGGACGTGGAATTATGAAGAACTCGGATGAATCAAATTCACTCGGTTGGCCGAACAGCTTCATCCACTCCGTTGACCTAAATGTGATGTTTGCATCATCATCGTCATCAGCAGCACTGCTGGATGAACGTTTCCCCAAGCCGGCGTCATCTCTCACGGTCAGCATGCGACAATCCACCCAGCAGCTCCACACGAGTGAATTTCTTTGCTCGCTCTCCGTGGCGATCGTCAAAGTCCACGCGTATTTTGCAATAACCTATGAATAACCGCTTCTCGTAAGCAGAACTGAACGTGTGAATATACTCAAACTTCCAGTAAAAATCTTTCTTGAGCTTATCGTCCGGATTACAAGACAACGTGGAAAGTAAGACGCACCCCAAAGACAAGTGGCGAGTGTCAATAAAATCATACAAGTCTGGTCTGGCAACACCACACCTGCACACCGAACGGATTTTTAGACAAATGCCTCAACTTTCACATTAAAATACAGGAGCGGGGGGGGGGGGGTGCGAAATACACCTTATAATCTTCCAGAAAAGCAATCAGAACACGTCCAGCGAAAATAAAACAAAACGCGTCGGATCGCGCAAAGTCAAATCTGCTCTCGAGAGTTCATCCCGGTGTCGGGGGAGGCAGGGGTGGGCGGAGGGAGCCGCGCGCGTGACTTGATTCCACCAGAACTCGACGATGAATCGGCGCTGAAACCCGTGGGGGAGGAGGGGGGAGGGACGAGCGGAAACTGGCGAGCAGTGGGCCTTGAACAGAGCGCCGCACGAGCCAGGGTCTGCAAAACATCCGGCCGCGTGCAATCCGACTTGGGCCCTTGCCGCCGAGTCAGGCAGAGGCCGTGCGACCGTCTCCCCCCTCGAGTGGCACTCAAATCTGCGAGCCACCCCTACCCCCAGCCCTACCCCTACCCCACCTCCAGTGCCTCAGCCGGCCGAGAGGGTAGTGCCCGCCCCACGACGCGCCCGGAGAGCGCCGAGACACAGAGCGGCAGAAATTCGAGGACCCCCCGGCAGGAAAATTAATGAGGTCTGTGGGGACCCATTACGATCAAGCGGTGAGAAATCAATGGCGCAGACCGCGGCCGCCGTAGCGCAGAGCGGAGCGAGAGGGACAAAGTGGGCGGAGGTTTTCATTAATCCCTCGCGTCGGGGCCGACGTCTTCCTCCCCGACGTTCAAAGCTCAGCGTGGATTCTCCGCAAAGGACGCGGCACGCCACAACCTCCGCCCTCGCTCGGCGTGCCACGGATGGGGGGGTGGGGGGCGGGGAGGACCGCTGGTGCGTCGAGCGCGATGCAGCGGAATCGGACCGAGGGTCTATTTTGGCGATAAACGAGGAAGAAACCCCGATGCACGCGCGTGGATTCTGCAGCGCGTTCCGACGTGCCGTGTGCAGTTGCACCGCGCGCGGTTCGTCGCGACGTCCGACTCTTTCGCTTCCGCCGCGCTGCCAGCTTCTTCGGCTCCCTGGGTTGCCGAAGCAGCGCACCGGCACCCATAACGAAACGTCGGACATGACGGAGAAAAAAATAAGCGACACAACCCCGAGAAAAACGCATCGGAGAGTTGGTGAAAGTCCAACCCCGTCCACTCCTGGTGTTTTCCAACGTGCGCGCAGAGCGACGTGGGAACCGCTCGGGTGCGTTTGGACTCGAAAGTTTTTGGTGTTTCGTGTTCAATGAAAGTGTACGACTTGGAACAAGTGGCTGAGTTCATCATTCGAGCATTACCCCATCCTTATAGTGATATTATATTTGATGTACTGGATACAACGAGAAAGCATGGCAGAGAATGAATACCGGACCTGTAATAAATAAATACAAATTATCCACGTCTTTAAAGAATACTATTGCTTAGGTGACGTTATAAGGCAGGTTTCAGGCATTTTTCATCTGTGGCGAGCTAATTCCCTCAGCTCAGTCACCATTTAATGTGGCTAAACTCAAGCTCTCAGAATAAACAATATTCGTTTGACTGCAATGCGGCAAAACAATGCTCTCACGTGACACGGCTGAGCGCGTGGGAAAGTGCTGCTCCTTATTGTGCGGACCAGAGGTCGCCTTCTGGGAACTCAAGAGGTAGTTTTGTGACGTCCAGTTACAGGGGCTGTTCTCTAACAAGGCCTATTGCCCTGCCCTGCAAGAGCTCCAAATGGAAACTCTGTATCGTGACATGACGCATGTAGCCCTATCAGGATTGAATCTTGGCAAAATAAATATGATTATATATTTTTAAGTAACAATCTTTTTGCAGCAAGTGAAAGAATAATGAATGGCTCTGGGTTACCAGCCCCTAACGCAGCTTCCCAGGTCACCCATAACAACCTCCAGCGAGCGGCAAGTTGTATATTTGTCGCTTGTTAACCCCAGACAGCTCCCCTCCCTGCGCGTTGAGGCCCTCTCAGGTCACCGCAAATCACAAAGCCATGGCAGTGGCACGGAAGTGACCGCCGTGATCAAAGAGAAATGTTACCCACACCACCAGGCCCTCTCTCCCAGCTCAGCCAACTCTCTCGCCACCACAACGGTGCACTTCAGCGTGGCGCTTGCTCGCTCGCAGTTGCATCGGCCCTGTGTCGTAGCTACAGTAATCGTTAACCACGTTTTATTCACCAGGTTACGTGTGTATGCATGTGAGCGTGCAAACAAACATGCTCTGATAATTAAATATGCATTGTCTTTGAAACGAATTTGATAGTGGAAAAACGGTCCCATGATATGTTGAACTTCTTTGGCACCGTACATAACCAACCGTGCTCATAGGAGGTGCGGGGGGAGGACGGTGATGCCGCTGCTGCATTAGCAGCGGTGCACAAGCCCAAATAACACAAATAAACTCAACTTGTTCGTCAATAACACTGTGGCCGTGACGTTTCGGGCAATGGCTCTTCTTCATAGCGCATAAATAGAGTGACTTTACCGAAAGAACCAAAGAGTATAGATTCCTGCAGTCCTGAAAGCTTCAAAACAACACTTTTCATATTCATTATTATTCAGGCTTCATGGTGTTAAAGTGTAGTCTTCCAACTCTTTGAGTATCCACTCCGGCTCACTTCTGGCCTCTCTGCTCGTAGTGTGATGATGATGATGAAGGGCCTGTTGCTCGTCACGTCGCCCTTGTTATGAACGCTTTCCACCAAGGTCTGAAAAGCGTGAATGCATTGACGCTTCGACTCCGTCCAGTGCAATAGCCAGCGGAGAAAGTTACATCCGAATAACCGCGCGTCCTTCGCTTACAAATAGACGATAACCCACAAGGATGAACGTCTGTGTTTCACAAGGGAGATCTGGGTCATGAATATAGTCACGAATACGCATTGCAAGAAATGGTCAACATATGTAACTATCGTAAACCTGATGCAAAGCTGGATACTGCCTAAGCACAACCCTCATTAACACCGTTTTTTTATTAGGAAGCTACTGGAGATATGCACTTGTAAATCTAAATTGAAAACTAATTTTTTTAGAAGTGCTGTTTGTGTTTTGTGTTGTCGTTCCCCCGCACCTCAGATCAGCACGGTTGGCTACGTACGGTGCGAAAGAAGTTCAACATACAGTTCATATATAACCCTTAGGGAGGCCGTCATCCAGCAGTGGATTGAGCACGTGCTGATGATTAATCGCGTTCAGTGCCGCGTGATGATGAAGGTGACGAAGACGATGCGCGTGCACTGAAGTTCCTCTTTGCAAACCCTCAATTTGCCTCAAGACGAATTCGTTCGCATTCACAATCCATCTCCGATGCAGCAGCAGCATCAGCAGCTGCCGCGGTAGCAGCAAGCCAGAGAATTTGTGCTCTTGGCAATCAATGACATTTCTGCGCAATAAAGATCACTAACGAGCTCAACGCGTCCCAGGAGGTTACCACAGTCATGGCTACGATCACCGTCTCTCCGTGGCGACAGCTCGTCACCGCCCCGCGCAGAGGCCCGGTCGAGGTTCGCAAGCCGTCGATTCTGCTGCAAACTTCCCACGTGAGAGTTGGGGGGGGGAGTGGAGGGGGGGCAACCAAAATCGAACCCAGATGCCGGTGAGATGGAACGCACAGCAGCTCGCTCAAGATGCCCTCCCGAACTGCAGGCAGAGCAGCAGGTCGCCGTTACCGCCACCATCGCTCACGAGCTCAAATCCATGGACAAGCAACAACAGATTTGCGTCCACGTGCAGATGATTCTCACACATTATTAGGCCAGTGGTGTATTAGTAGTATTTCCACCACCCACCCCACCCCGGTTACGGAGCACAGACGCCAAGTGGCCAGCGACAGTACTATTGAAGCTGCGCTCGATAACAGTTGCGTGGACGTATTTTGAACTTCTTTTGCACCATGCATAGCCAACCGTACTAATCGGAGGTGCGAGGAAGGACAGCAATCTAAACACAAAAAGCAGTTCTAAAGACGAGTTTTCAATCTAGACGATTCAAAAGTGCATTGCCCCAGTGGCTTCCTGATATCGGCAGCGCGTTCCAGACGGCCAATTCGGGCCAGTGAATGTGACCGCTTGCAGCCACAAGGCAAGACCCAGATTTTAAGACTTAATGCAAACCGTATTGTTCCACCTATGACTAAACCACCTGGAATGCACCCAATCTCATCCACTCTCGGGGGCTAAGCAAGGTTCATGTTCGGACGAACATGCACGGAGAGTTGTCATAGGGTGGTCAGCGGAGGGCAGTGAAGTAAAATCCGTTCTTGTACTGCATTTCTATGGTCCCACATCGACACGTATCCCGCTTTCACAGACCCGCACTGACTCGTGGCGGTGAGGTGCAGTGATTCACCCCCCCCCCAACACCACCCACACGGCATGGGGAGGCCCTCATCCAGCAGTGGATTGACGGACGGGCCATACCTGTGCACGCAGTGCACAGTTGGTTGCTGGTGCCTATTAACGTCACGTGTTTCAGTTTTCAGTTTCATGTATTAGGTATAGCCCCGT